CAGTTTTCCATTTAATATTATTGACTTAATCAGAGAACGCAGACCCTAATCGTGGACCGCTGAAAATTCTTCTTCTTCCAAATTCGTTACTTTTATCGTTTAGTTAAAGAAATCTGCTGCCGGATCGCACCAAACACGTTCAGAGGTTTATGGTGGTGCTGTTTTGGATACAACGGTTTAAAAATGCCATTTTTTGACCACTTGTTACGAGAATTGTCCAGGATACACTGTTGCAGTTCGAATAGGAAGTTTTGCTACACACAGCGTACTTGCCAGACATGCCGCCTCCTGATTCCCATTTGTTCGGATCGGTGCGGCCCGGCTTGGTTAGCACGCGGATCCGCAAATTTGAAGAAGTGCGAAAATGGATCGCTCGAGTGAATCGTTGCCAAACCAATCCATCCATCGACATGATATCGCCAAGTTGCCAAATTATGCCAAAAAAAAAATGTTATAAAATGTTGCAGAAAATAATGGAAACTATGTTGATTAGTATATATTGTGATACGATGAGCTGTTTTCAAACCAATGGCGAACTGGTTTAAACCAACGGAGCTACCATTGCGGAACCTTATTAAAACAGTTCTGCTGCAATTGAACGGGTCATTGAAGGCAAGATGACCCTAATATACTAAAAGAAATTGCGAAGCTTTTTGGCGGTAGAAAGACATCCCATCAATAGTGTCCTGAAAGGATGCCTTCCTCCTTTCAATCAATACTTGTTTCACAAACGATAAATTATTGTCGGAACAAAAAGCGCTTTAAATCCTATGATCTCCTATCTCGATGATCTCTTCCCCCGCGTTAATCTTTCAACACAAAATGTAAATTGTAACGACTAACGACGAAGAACATTTTAAATAATATATTTTGTACCAAATTTTAGCAAGAAACGCACTCATATTATATTCATACCCGTATGCGTTAGATATCCGTGTAACGGGTGCAAGTGTTTTCCTAAATTTTCTCAATAATTCAATAAATTGTTTATAAAGTCAAAAATAAAAACTGATCTAATAAAATTTCAAAAAAAAAAAAAATTCTTTCCAAAAACTTTCATTCCAAACGAAATCATATAATATATCATTTCATACAAACCAAAACTATATTATACAATATATAATATATATATATATATATTATTTGAAATAAATAAAAATTTAGTTAAAAATTGTGCAAACAATTCCCATAAAATTTTTACACATATTTATGATTTACGTGGAAAAGAAAATTTTAAATTTCTTATATAATTTGTCACGTAACGTTAACGACATTTTACAGTCATTTTCTGTCAGAAAAACAATGTGTCAACGAGAATTAAAAAATTTTTAAGGGTTTTTGAAATACAAGAGGAAGGGGAAGTAGTAGCTTATGTCAAAACGATTTTTTCATATATGCTTTCATCGCGTTTTCGCCGAATCCGAACACGAAACTCAATTCTAATGATGATGAAAATATATTTTCCACGTATTTGATATGATCAGCGAAGGATGAGGGCTTTATTCATTCCCCTAGTCGCAAAAAGGCAGCTATCCTCCTCAAATTTGATCCACATAATGGAAATTGTGTGTGTGTACTTGTACAAAAAAACGTGGGAAAAATTGACCACGCCTATTCAATATTATAATGTATTAACACATCATTTGCATTTTTAATATCTTGGCAGCGTGCAGAAGCAAGCTTCAAATATCCCACAAAGCTTATAAATTCTTGGGTACCTAAGCAAATCTGTCTACTCATCTATCCAGTTATCCATCTGCCCAATTATGTAGTAGCTGTGGTGTAAATATTCTCTCGTTTGCAAAAAAGGAGGATATCGCCTAAAAATGACCGCAATCAGGCAAAGAATACTCCTACAACACACATATGCCTTTGCAACAAAAAGTGTGAGCATATCTTTGCTTTCGGTGTAAAATGTAGCAATTAGCCCAGATAAGCTTTCGATTTCATTACGAAAATAGAAAGGAATCGACTGCACCCACCCAATACTATCATATATAAGAATTAAGTTATTTTTCCTTTTTTGTTTTTGCAATCTTTTTTAGGATCATGGTGACGGGTGTGAAAGATTCGGTCACGAGTGTTATCTCTTCGCAGTATCTTAGAACAGTCCATTGTACATAAATTCTTTGGATTAAACTTTTTTTATTCGATTTTAAACATTTATAGAAATAAAAGCCAAAAATTTCAAAAATTAAATGATATATGTGATATACCTGTCCCTCCCTCTCTCTCTCTCTCTCTCTCTCTCTCTAGTGAAGCCGAAACCCCGAAACTCCGAAATCGAAATCGAAACCACGCACACACACACACACACACACACACAATCTCTTTGCTACACTTGGATTAGTTATAAATTGCTTACTAAAGTTATTTTGAAGTTAAAAGCGATAAGGTGATGCCGACTCCGACTTATAATTAATTAGTAAACGCCCTCAGATTGGATGATAGCTTTCGTAGAATCGTTCTTACTGCCCTTCATATAAAGTGAGATAATTTTTTTTAATAAATCTTATAGCCAACTAGTTGGCATGCATTTGTGCATGACGTACAAAAAATAAAAAAAATAAATAAATAAATAAAAAAAATACATTTTCGATGTAACTGCCATAACTCAGTAATTAGCTAACAATGCTCAGAGACGTCGTGAACTAAGTAAATATTAAGTATAAAATTTTATATATAAAAAATATGAATAAATAAATACAAAGATAAACATGCTTCGCCTGTTTGATTATAACCAATTGTTATGATTATGCGATTTTTACAAGGAGTGCAACAATGACGATCGTTTATAATATTAATCCATTTATCGATAATTAAATAAATGAGTGATATAAGCAAAGTGATATCCGTTAACCGATGTTATATATCATCTTCTTTACATCAGAATTCTTAAATGATTTTTAATAAATATCAGATGCATTTGCTCTGCATTTTTGAGGCCCCTTAGACAATTGTAACAACTAAGAACTTGTTGAGAATAATTTTTCCCTTTTTTTTTTTGTCTTTCAATAATAGCTGAAGACATATTAAGTATTAAGACTTTTGATCTAATAGGGAATTTTACAAAGCAAAATTTAAAAATGATTCTAATTGGACGAATCAATTAAGTCACTCTCTTAATTCATCAAGTAACAATGGCTTGTAATTTTCATGGATATATCCATTCATGGCTTTCTTTCTTCTCGCTATGATTCGTTTTGATCGATTACTTTACAAGTTCAAATTTCATTAGTGTTTACACTATTAATTCTTCTATTGCATCTATTTCGGAAAATATTTCATTTAAATTTAAAAAATATTCACATCATGAATAATCACAATTAAATAAGCAAAAGTTAACAATAAAAAGACTTCACTTCTCTTCTGTTCTTTTCTCTTCTTCTTATCTTTTACTATTCCCCTTCGTTACAATTTTTCGTTGTTAAGTGGTCAGTGGTCGATTGCACGTCTTGCTGATTGTTATTATTTGTTAGGTTAAAGAATTCCAATAATATTCGGAACATATATATATGTGCTATTGCAATTTCAATTTCTTGCGTATTATTAAAGCACTTTCTCTGCCACCTTGAAATATTATAATAAATGTCACGGTCAAGGTTGAAAGCAAAAGCTACAGCAGAATAGATTATGTTACCGAATGAATTTCGTTTTCAAACGTTTATCGCTTGGGGTTTCTTCTTCTTTCTTTGTTTCAATTAAGTCGTGTGAATTAATTAATCAATTAATGTAGAATAGGTAATATTCTGTTCGTCTGTCTATACAGCGGCATAGAAACATTTCCTTCTTTTGACGTAAAATGCAATTAATTCGTTCCCTGCCTATCACTGCCTGTCTATTGCCTTTGTTTTTTGCTGAGATGGGCATGAGTATTGATTACCGTTTCGCTTTAATAGTAATCACCGCAAGAATGACTTAGTTTCTAAGACTGTTACTATCTATCTACCTATCTATCTCTCTTGTTATCTCATTTAATCTCTCACTTAGTAAAGCGCGACAGAATATAAAAAAAAGTTATACAAAGACGCATACTTATCGATGAATATCCAGAAGCAGTTGTCATGAGTTCAGTAAAGACGTCAGAATCGTTCTCGCGTAGATTCGCGAAAGATAAATGCTTTCAATGCAGTAGCGGGCACGTAAAATTCGCTTTAAGCCAAATTTGTATATATCATTATATTCATACAAAATATCATTAATTTTTCTATAGTCATTTGCAAAAATATACTTAAATATGCATATAAATTTGCTCATATGAGGTCAGTAGCCTCCCAAGCAAACAAAAATACGAAGCAAAAAATGAGATGCAAAAATACGGATGAAAGGGTTTACTTAATATCATTTTTTTTTTGTTTTTTTTTTTTGTATTGCATTAAAACATATTAAAAATTAATTTAAAAAAATTACAACAAATTTTTAGCGTAACGCTGAACGCATTTTAAGAAGGTTTTAATTTCAACGGCTTAACAACGGATGCTTGCGAACATTTCTTTTTAGCTTTATTCATTCATTCGTCATTTAACGTGACGAAAACGATTTGAAGTATACCTTTCTGGAATGTCTATATATGTTTATGGCAAATGCTATCTATCCCCTTTCTCAAACAATATAAATATGATACACCGCACTATCCTTGAGATGAATGTTTTTCAGTGCGCAGGTCTTGATCTTTACAAAGAACCTATTGACGGTTTTCTTAATTCTTTTTTCTTTCTTTTTTTTTTTTCTTCGGTTTTTCAAACTTAACAGAAATATTAGCAACAACAGCAATAACAACTGCATATAGTAAAACAATATTATGATTTCATAACAGCATTACTGCATCCGTATGCAGTATGTACTGCAACAAACAGAAACCGACAACAACATCTTTAAGCATAAAATCAAAAAAAAAAAAATCAATATTTCTTTCCACAAATATCCTTAACAAACAAATGCGTCATCTTACAAAAGGTATTCATTATATTGATGAAATATTGTGAAAATGACAAACTTACCAATAATATGCTATAGTATCGCCCAAGCCATTGCGTATATTGCGATCTAAAAGATTGTAGCATAAATTGGTAGAGGCACCTTCCATCCATTTTATAGAGATGGGTCCTTTCGTAATATTAAAGTTGTATTGCATGAATTTCTTAGGATCAGCTGGAGTTTCCCAATGAAATTGTTTGGCGACACGTGACCAAAACTCTTCCGGTTTCTCCAATGATTCTTCATAGAATTTTTTGTACTCATCGAAACTGGATATATAAGCATTACGACTGATAGCCGGATTTGGATTGTATATCGATTTTTCCGATGGCATTATTGCAAAAAAAAGAGAAAAGAAATAAACACCTTTTCTACGTTTGCGTATATAAGTTAATCGGTTTAAGTCCTTTGTAATGAATTACTTGCTCTACACAACATAAAATAATTAAATATTTATGCCTTATAGGTTTTGCTTGCCCATGTGTAATCAATTATCTTATTACAAATTTTTCTTTTTTGAATATTCTTTAGACTTGATTGTTAAAGAAGAATTTCCAAGCAATTATAGTTCTATTATTATTTTACTTATTTATTTATTTGTTTTTTTTTTTTTTTTTTTTTTTGATTTTTTTAAACTAATTTATTATATTTCGTGTTTACTTCTGAAATAACTTTCGCTTACTAAACGTCGAAAATTTTGAAAATTCGATTTTTCATTTATGTATTCAATTTTATGGGTATATGTGTGCGCATTTGTTGAGTATTGCATTTGAATTCATGTATAATTCATTAGAGAGTTTCAATATAGCTTTACTTTAATTTCAAAAAGCTTTCGCCCTTCTTTTCACAGCAAAACTTGCTGTTATTGTATATCTTATAAGATTCTTACAATTATTTCAAAATTTCAATGTCACGAGAGCAAGAGAGTAATTAAAAGAGTTATTGTAAAGCGAAACAAGGATACATTATTTCATTTCTCTTAAAACATACAATAATATATAATAGGAATAAAATCTGAAGGAACTTATGCTCAATACTCAATACTACTTCAATCTCCAATAAACAAAATCAATTATACTTTGCATATAGACAAAAAGAGATAAAAAAAATAATATGTTTATAGATAGGAAATGTTTTCTATATACAGATCAAATCAAATATTGCGTTCACAGTTAAAAAACACTTTTATATAGATAAACAAAAAAACCATAAATGAAAATAAAAATAAAAGAGAGGCAAGAGAGAAATTTCCCTATTAGTCTTAGGAAATTTTATTCAAAAGAAATTTCTATTGAGAAAGAGAAATTAAAGAAGGGGTCACCATATAGTTGAATATACAAAAAAAAAGTAGAAAATTTTGCTGTTAACACGTATTGTAACCATATAGCGGGACTTCGTCCAAGGATAGAAATGCGTGTTTAACGGCTTAGTAACAAACGCTCAGAAATCTCTCTGTTTACTTTACATTCAAATTGCAAATGTTTTGTCTTCAAACCTTATTTCGGTTACAAACAAATGAGAAAATTATATTCGGCTAGGGTCGAGTCTTTTATACCCAACATTTTTACTTTTTTTAACAACTAAAAAAAAAATATAAAAAAAATATGATCGTACATAATATTAGCTGGGCATAGTTGATTTTTACCACTTTTGTAGAAAACACAGGGGAATTTTTATGATATATCTGTGACAGTTTATGAGTAGTGAGCAAAAGAGAGTTACACGTGTCCATTGTTCAATTTGGCTTATTGTCAATACTAACCTGCGCGCAAAAACTTCCATTGTCAAACTTCCACGCGAAGAAAACTTTCAATGTTTTTGCCGAATTTGAAGCCATTAACTTGATTTTTGTGACCAAGTCAACGCTTACTACAGGCAAGCCCACAAATGGATATGCTTGCTTACATATATTACGGCGTCTTTGAAGCAGCCTTCGGTGAACGTGCAACTGTGTTGACATAATAAATATACACCCATCCCTCCAGATATTGCCTATCATACCAGCAATTACATCTTTAAGACGGAAGATTTTTCCGTAAGGGAAAGATAACTGGTGTTAAAAGGCTTCGGATAAAAAGATCAGTGCTTTAATAAGATCTCTGCTTGAATAGCAAAGAAGGAATAATGTATGCTATTAATAAGCATGAAGAAGCCACATTTCGGGTTAGTGATAGTAATATCTCCCCAATGAGTTTTGTTATATGGCGGCGAACTTCTCCATGCTGAGAGACCCCGACATCATAATTTTTAACATACTGCGCCCGCTTTTTCTCCCATCTGTACCACTTGTGATTGGTAAGGTTCCCTAGTCACGGTTATACTTGCTTGGAACAAAGCACTATGCACCACTCTCAAATTAACTATTGTTCCCAGAATTCTGGGCTATAACTTTATATTTATAACCACTTTAGATAAATACGACCACAATACATACCGCTAGCACCACATATGTGTAGAAATCAGAAATCTAATTATAGATCTGATAATAAAACAAATAGATTATAATTAGATTTCGACTAAAATTTATCTACTAGCTTTTTCTTTATAACATTCTCTTCGATGAAAAGTGTTGAAATCTTGTTCATTGCTGCCATTATCACCTATAGCCGGTAAAAGTAATTTGTTACCGTCGTTTTGGAAATTCGTCGCCCGATAAAAACGCGTTAACATTTTGAAATGTGTTAATTGTATTACATTGCATACGTTACATATTATCTTTTCCCAAAAAAATACCAATTTAGGTTAGAATCGTACGTTTTACACTTTAGATATATCGAATTGAAACAGAAAACCGCAAGAAAATGTGCATCTCTATACACGATTCTATAATCGACTCGAAGAAATTTAATTCGAAGCTTTCATTTTGTCACTAAGAGCATTGAAAGCATTTCGCTCTCAACGTTTTATCTACTCAAAAGTCTCTTCTCGGTAAAATGAAACAAAAGGGCTTTTTATTTGCCAACGTTTTCAAATAAACATAAATGCTTTCTAAAGTGAGAAGTCAACAGTTACTGTAAGAGTACAGTAAGTACAGAGTACAGTGCATATCTGAGGAGGTATTCGTTTAACCCTGACAACCTCTTTGGAGAACGTTGTGAAAGACTAGAAATTTCATCAAAATAGTTTCCTCCCTGTAATGAATTTTTATTCACATATTCTAGAAGAAAACAGCATTTGTGAAAAATTTCCTTTCTCTTGAGAACTCCTTCACAAATGTCGGATATCGATAAAGAGATCTCATTTGATCTCTAGCACTTAGATGACCATAAAACAGATATATCTTCTGATCTGCCTTTTCACTCAAATCAAAGATAAAATATTTGCTGAATGTAGCTACCTTCTATACTGAATTTGATGACTTGTGAGAAATGAATTTGCAAGTCCGCCTATAGAAAAAAAGGCACAGTTAAGAGACATTTAAACATTTAAATGTGTTAAGTACCGGTGGCGGAAGTTTAATAAGTAATCAAAATCTAAATTTGAGACATTATTCCTGGTTACCATAGGTTTCCATAGACAGCGAGTGTAATGAAAATTGATTTAAGTGTTTTATGTTGAACAAAACATTCTATCTAATCGCATCTGGTAAGAAAGTTGGACACAATTATTACGCACTTACCTTTGAAGTTGAGATATTTCCTAAATTAATAGTTTGCCATAACTACAGGTGCTGCTGTTACTAAATTTATCATTCTTCAAAAGTTAGAAAGCGCTTTTAATAATCGATTTTTCGATAAGTTAATTCAAATGTGCACTTGCAAGTATCTTTTCTTTTTTGTAAGTTTTATCCAAAACTGTTACATCTGGCAATGCCACACAAGGAATAAAGTGTTGGCTACCCTAATATATTATATATATTATAGAATAAGTATTCGCTTGTTAAAGAAGATAAGCAGAAAAAACGAAAATCGACAAAATTTAAACTAGGAGATTTTTACGGACTTTTTGTGTTTCTGTTATGGATAACAACCTTTCAATTAATAGCCATTTGACAGATTGCCGTTCATATTTGCGTAGGCACAGATTTGTTCGCATTCTCTCAAACATTTGCAAAGCCAAAACATACAATTCTGTGTTTAAGTGAACATATGCAATAGTATACTTGTAAGTGTATAGTACGAAAAAAGAGATTCAATAACAGGTATGTATGTGGCAAATATAATTTGTTTTTTTTTCATCGTTTATTTTGAAGAATTCTCAAATTTATTTTCGCCAAATACTTCGATCAATTTCAATGAAAATTTTCGGAAGAATAATTTTATTTAATTTGCTTATTATTTATATATTTATTAATTTTATTTGCTTACACATACATTTGACATATTTCATTCAATTTTCTATATCACACATGAATTATTTGATACGGCGTCTATTTACATTATTTAATTATTAAAATATATATGTTCGAGAACTAAAGAATGAAATAAATGAAAAACTAGTCCTTAATCCTAGCAATTCTCTCCTCTGCAATTCTTGCAGAATAACATTCTTAACGTAAACTCTAGTAAGCCGGGTCTATACTCGCCGCAATCATCGCCCGTGATAAGCTAATTGCTCCTTTTCTCCGTTATTTTGTCACAAATTAGTTTCCTGATATCTAATTTATGTTTGTTTTCATAATATCCTACTGCGTACATTTTATATTGCTACCGATATATTCAAAATTCCATTTTTGGAGTTTTGCAGCCATGGCGTTTCTGCGCTTTAGTTTTTGTGAAAGTTATGAAATTTTCCCGTACATTGCCCATATAATAACGCGTGGTGATGAAAATCAAACATTTTTTAAAGTGTACTTTTTTTAATATATCTACGTATACGGCCTGTACTGAAAAGTACCTCTGTAGCTGTTCTACCGCTTGCTACGTAGTAGATATTTCCGATGTGCCTGCTTCATCAACACAATCAATAATAAAGCCGTTTTCACTCTGATTAAAAGTGTATTAATCGGAGAGGAACCCGGCTAAGCGTACAAGCAAATACAATAAATCTTTGTAAGTCGCGATACGTACGGATTAATAACCCTTTGACAAATTTTTTCTTTTTTTTTTAATTTATTTTTGAGGTTTATGTATCCTCGAAGCCATTAAGGCCTATTATAAACGACAACAATGCCTACCGTAGGTGCGACAGTTAAGTACAATAATACAAAATGTTTTTAAACAATCTAAAGGAGAAGGAAAGAAAATTGAAGGTAAAGAGAACAAAAAAAAGAAGAAATTTTAAGGCAACTCGAAAATGCCACGTTAGGAAGATCGCAGGCATATGGGGCCGACATACGTGCCCTTGTTGTACTAGATACATTGTGAGACGTGGGATGTGTTCTATATTTTTGACCCACTAACACTCCTCAGACTGTTACCACTAAACGAACACCACGTATTTACCCTTTAACGCGCATAAGGGCGGATGTAATGTAGCCTACCGATCTCGTGCGTTTGCTATACACGCTCGGCCTAATGGTCTACTTCGGGCCGTTATGTCTATGCGGAGTATGTCAGGAGAAGATACTAGTAGACCATATAACCCTTCTTATTTAATTGACCTAGAAACTATTATTATTATTATTATAAATTTAGCCAGAGAATAAATTCTAAGTCTTAAAGCATTAGCATCTAAGACTTTCAGCTTTATTAAAAACTCTACCGCACTTGAGATTTGAATCCACGACCATTGAGTTGCTATTCGAGAGTCTTGCCTACTTGGCCACTCAGGCGGATGACCTAGAAACTAAATACCAATTAGGTTATGAAATATGTTTTTTAACAAATAAAGTTAACAAATTAATCAAAATTACCAAAAATATGGCAATAATACTACGAAGAAAACGGAGTGATTTATTGACTACAATTTGCCCTGTGTACCAAAGTACCAAAAATCCACTCTAAGCCATTGGCATCTACTGCTAAGGGAGAAGTATTAAGCTTTACTGAAAGCAAATGCAAACAATAAGTAGTGTTAAAGGAAAAAAAAGTGTATTCTTGGATTTCAGTTAAAACAAACATATATTTAAATTCTCGATCAGAATTATTACTATTGCTTACATCTGTAGCATAAAAACGAGAACACACTACGGCTGAAGGTTAAGTTTGCATTGTGTAAATCAACTTTTCGCATCTCGCAGACTTTATGCGACAATGTTTGATGTTCTATGAATTGCGCATGTTATATATATTATTCAATAATCGCTCTTGCTCAAGTATAACGTTTAAACTTCTTATAATTAGTGAATAAAGCGTTTACAGATACGAAAAAAGTTTCCCCATCAAAAAAGAAAATGTTTACATTAAGTCTAATATTAAGGAATAGATAGAATGCTTAAGCTTACATTATAAGGTCTAAAACCTCTCTTTTGTATATTTGTATATGACACTAGTATTTTGATAGTGCGGTATGTTTAATCACATTTCACATAAATCAGAGAAAGCAAAGTAACAAAAAATCAATTTTAACATATAGCCGTTCCCTTGAGCTTGAAAATTATTGTTTTGAAATCACAAGTCGTGAACTTTCTGTTAAACAATTCAATAAATTGCCGTTTTCTCTTAAACCGTTCCACCGATTAAGCTGCCTGATAAGGAAAGTATAATTCTTAATGCATTTAATTCCTAATTTCTGCCTTCCTTAAATCACAGGAAATTTCGCCGTTTTTTTTTTTTTTTTTTAAATTTGCATTCATTTTTTAACCATTTCCATTAAAAATTATTAACATAAACGCACTTTATATTAAAATGAGAGTAAAAACAATAATTAACGCAATTAATAAAGCGATTATTCTTATATAACACTGCGAAAAGGAGTAAAAAGAAAAAACAAAAACTTATGATATTTTTGAAGATGAATGAAGTAAATAAAAAATGCGATTATGCTTTTTTCCCCTAATGTTCCGCAGCAAGTAAATACTCCTTGTATTGTTTTTCGTTCATCAAACCTTTCAATTCTGCTGGATTCGATAGATTCACCTTAAAAAGCCAACCTAAAAAATAATCAAGCGAGCGTTGAATATGTGAAACCTGAAAATAATCTTTTACGTAATTTTACCTTTATCATAGCAGTTTGTGTTAACCAGTGCAGGGGATTCTTCAACAGCGGAATTTTTCTCCGTCACTTGGCCACTGACCGGTGAATACACTTCGCTGGCTGCTTTAACACTCTCCAAGGCACCACATTCATCGTTTTGCTTTAGAGTAGTACCAGGATCTGGCAATTGGGCGAACACAACGTCGCCTAAAGCCTCTTGAGCATATTGAGAAATACCAACGACTCCGGTTTGACCATTCACTTCAACCCATTCATGTTTTTCCGTAAAAAGACGATCTGTTGATTAAAAACAGATAACATATTATTCAATCTAGTTGTGGCAGCTCTGCCCTCTGCACTTATTAACAAAAATCATCTGTTTAAAAACATAGCATTTGATTGTTGCATAAAAGAGAACCTTTCATTTTGTTACCTTTGTGAAACGCTGATGTAACATGAAATTGACGGAAATTTGTTGTATATTTTAATGTATTTACAGTAACTCCACTCTGTTGTAATAAGCGGGCAAATCGTGTGAGAAAAACCATTTTCCTTATTGATGAATGCTTTCTTCTCTTCTTTTTTTTCTTTCTTTTTTTTTTTTTTTTTTTTTTGTAACACAATTGTCAGCTATGGTTGCTTTGTCTACCGGTAATCAAACACGAATGATTGTGATGACAATTTTTTTAAACCCGGGTAGTTTTTCCAATGAAATTGTTATCAGTGTGTAAATTGTTTTTATTTAATCATTGCCATGAACTTCACACTTTCGAGGTTATCACGGCTTAACTACAACAATGCTGGGGGAACGGAAATATTAGTAGTAGTAGTAGTAGTAATAGTAGAGGTCGATCGATGTAAACTAAAAATGCATATAAGTAAATATTGGGCCAATTATGAAAATTGTGTTCTTTGACGCAGCGCACAAATTTTTCGTTTAGTAAACTTCAATCAAATATTCATTAGTAGTTACCCTGTTCTTGTGTGAAAAGCGGGAAGTATTCTGACAATAGTAAAAAGAACATATGAAATAATTGATATACCCGATAAAAAAAATTCTTTATACTGTTGGAGAGCAGTTGGAAGAAAGAACCGAGTATGAATGTTTGGGTCGCTTGGAAATGATGCATTTACATAAATACTCTTATTGAGTCTTCTTGCCAATATCTAAATAATTTATTTTTCCTTATAAGCAGGACAAGGTCAGCGTTTTGTTATCGATTCAAATCAATCAAAAGTGAATGTGTCATTATTCTGCTGGTGTCCAAAAACGTCTTCATAGCCAATTCGTAATTCTATCATCTTTTTAGTAAATAAAAAGTATCTTTCCCCCTAGTTGATGTATAAAAACGTAAGTGCGTAATTATAAAATTATAAAATTTCATTCCTCTTCTTTTATTCAGCAAATCAAGAACCGAAAAGGCCAAGTGTGAAAACAAAGTTCTTTTTTTCAGCCTTAACAAATTGAGGGTTAGTTTTAGTACAAATTATTATTATTTGTTTATTTTATTATGTCTAAAGTATATTCGATTAATGTCTTGTTAATTTTGCGTGTTAAACGTCCCCCATGTTTATTTCTTAGTTTTGCATACTAGTCACCCGCCATTTAGAATAGACCAGCGTGGGGTAAATTTTGTAGTGTAAGGAGTAATGTAGTACATGAGTATAAAGCGTCATGCGAAAGCACTGATAAGCACGAGAGTAAAAAAAGAGTGAAAAGGATTCATAATTTGGTAAATAATAATTTTTTTAACTATTATATGTCTTGATGACAGGATTAAATAAAAGAAGAGATTGCAGAGTAAGTTGTATGAACGCAAAATACGAAAAGTGCTGCAGTCATGAAAACCACATATAAACAATTTGCAAAGTGTGGAATACAAGTGGTAACATTAGGACAGACAAATAGGACATGATCAGGAGATTGCAAGATTGCACATGTCCATAAAGGGATATCCACTTATGCTAATTTTGAACAGTTGATAATTACATCTCGTGTGATTAAACATCAGCCTGAAATAAAGAGTATAAGTGACGGCAATAAGGTGAGTTATTCCATCGCTGTTGCCAACAAAAAACTGAGCGTTTCTTCTCGATTGGCCTCAAATTTGCAGAAATCAGAGCACTATCATTAAAATATGATGGTCTGGAAGATGCAATTTTATCTGCAGCAGTATCGCCCAGAATGCCCATGTGATTGAGCAGCCATAGAAAATGGAAACAAAATGCATCAGATATAAGGCTATATAGCAAAGACCTGATATTTTATTCGTTTTCCTTACAAATACAAAAATCTTCATTTTGGTAAAAAAAAAGGCGTTCATTCATCTTTATGAAAACCTTTGGTTACGATACACACTGTGGTTATTTTTTGTTGTTGGTGGCGGTGTGTAATCGGGTGGTGGTAAATTGGCCGGGGATTCTGGCCTTGATCTTGTTTCTTCAGGAATAGAAGATTCTGGCCGAGATCTAGGCGGATATTGCTGATAAGCTTCTATATTAAAAAAACGTCTTTCCATCATTGAAACATTGGCTGATACCCGAGCCGCACGTGCCAAAGGCTCTTCATTCAGTCGTAGTCTGGTCGTTGCAGCATGGGTTGCAGAGGCAGCAGGAACATCAGGTTTCTCATTATTATCATGTTCATAACCGTCATTTGTGAATGCCTGAACCATGCCGTTATTTCTATAACAATTTATATTAATCATTATTGTATTAATATTAATATATAAAAGTTGATTGGTTGATTAATACGAACTTCTCATCCTCTTTATAAGCCTGTATAGGCGGCCTAATTACTACGTTATTAGAAGGAGATTTTCTAATAAGTGATGCGAACCAATTGCTCTAAAAAAAAGATTGAAAAATATATTAAATTTCATGCATTAATAATGAGATTGAGAATTGACTCTAATTGCAGGCTATCCTAAGTTCAAAAGAAGAAGAACTTAATAAAAACGAAGATTCGTAGTAAAAGTTATTATTTAGTCGTTTTGCAAAATTAAAAATTTCCAATTCTAAAGGTGTTCGCAGCTACTTTTCTATTCTACCTCGCGTTATTCACTTCTTGCATAGTTTAAATAGTCTGGAAGAGCCAGATTGTCTCATTTATAAGTTAAACATGCATAAAAACCCTTTTTGATTTAATGAAAACAAGTACGAAAGTTATATTCGATTGGTGGCCGAATCTCGCATATGCACCATTACACTTTTCGCATCCTACTCTCCAAACTCTTTTATTTGATACCCATATCGTTGGCATTATGAAGAAAAAAATAATCACAGTGTCTACCTTATGCATTTTAGAATTAATCCTTTTTTAGGTAGATAATATATGTTCGTGTAAGGAATGTAAAAAACAGTTTTAAACATTCTGTCTTGTTCGCCTTGTAATAAATAAGCATAAAACCTTAAAAAAAGGCGAAAAAATAAAATTTATTCAATTGTAACTTTTTGTGGGCATGGCCGATTTTTTCAATTTTTTCGCGTGAATAGTAGATAAGTTTGTAAAGTAAATGTGGAAAATTTCGCGATTTTAACTTTAACAAATTTCCAAATAACGAGCAAAAATCCACAAATTTTTGGTAAGAAAAACGAAGTTACGTTCAGTTTATCCTAAGCTGCGGACTTTTGCTCTGACCAATTTAAGCCACTTTCTTTACCAACCAGCGGGCCAAAAACTTCCAATGTTTCTGGCGAATTTGAAATCAATATGTTCATTTTGCGAACACGAGAGTGCTAACAATACCAACCACACAGACGGACAGACATGGCTAAAGCATGGTGATCGAGAATATATATACTTAATGGGGTCTCCGAAACTTCTTTCTGGGTGTTACATACGTAATCGAAAAAAAGCAAAGTGGTTGTACCCCCATCTTACAGTGGTGGGTACAAAAATAAAGAGCAAGTATAATAGAAGCTTTCCAAAAATATGCATTAAATGTCAATTGTAAAAAAAAAATCATTTAAGGTTCATCGAAACACGGAATGTGCATATCGCTTTTTTTCGCCTATATTGTACGTCGAAAGTACTTTGTGCTGGTTTTGATTCCAAAGAACCTCCTTACATCAGTCTTCCATAAGCTAAACATATTAAAACAATCAACGCTTTAACAGCTACGGAGATAGGACATAACCTTAACATTTATCAAACATTTGCTTCAATTTGTGATTTTCGCTACTATGACTATCTCCAATTTTATTCGGAACTTGTATGGCAATTAAAATCTTACCTTTCTGTTGTTATTGTTAGTTATTTTCATTAAGAAATAGATTAGATACATCAACACAGCCACATTAATCAGCCATAAAATAAATCCTTTAAATGATAAAATCATCATTATTATGGACGCAATCATGCCGGCAAATAGTAGAGCTGCCTTAGGATCGTCAAGAGTGAATTTGTCTGCTTCTTGGCTGAAACGATTATAATCAATACTGAATATAACGGCCAAAGCAAAATCCATAACGATAACGCTAAGCATCACAGCAATCCAAGTCGAAACCGCAGCTATTATCGTTTCAGATTCGTCTCGCTTGATAACTAAAAAAGTAACAAAATTTTAATCATTCCTGTTCTGATTAAAGTTTCATCGCTATATTGCGTGTGAAAAAATTGAAAATTGTACGATTGCAAATGATCTGCTAACGATCTCCAACTTGATTTCTCCTGACAAGCGACTAATTCATGAAAACTTAACGATGTGACTGAATGCCTTAAGACAAATGAAAATTTGCTCCATCCCATTATCGATTCGAAAAATAAAGCTACTAAACTGGCTTTTCCAAAAGTTCTTACTCAGTGAGTCATCGAAATAAGTGAAAATATAGAAATTTGACGCCAAATAAATTTACCAGAATTTTATGATGACAAACTTACTTATTAACATCCATGCTGAAGTCATGCACCAGCATATGGCCACCGCTAAATATACGCAATTCCATATTACTATCTGTTTAACATCCAATACGGTTTGAACGGTTTGAAGTAGCGTAAGATCATATTTAGGATAGGAAAGCGGTGTGCAGTTGCCTTTAAAATACACTTCCATATACACTGTTTGTAGTATGGAGCCATATGTTAAATTATTATTCACTGGTATCGCGCATTTATAGGATAAAATGCCAACAATACACAATGCAATCCAAGTAAGAGACTGAAACTAAATTAAAAAAAAAAAACAAAAAAAAACCAAAAAAAAAATAAATAAATATACATTATTATTATTTGATAGCGAACGGTAATAAACAACGTGATAATCAGACAGGATTTTGTTTTTATTGTCTTTTCTATTTGCGCAAATGTCAATTTCAAATGTTATGACAATTACAACAATTTAATTGAAATGAAAAAAAGAAGCATTCCACGCCAAGTGAACGTAATCGGCCGTTGTAAGTCATCTAGATTGGACAATTGGCCAAAATATGGGAAAACAAAAGATTACTTGTTTAGTGAAATGTGTTTGATTAAAGTTTAAAGCAAAATTTAAGGACAAATGAGCCAGCGAGGGACGTATTATTATGGCGTTATTTACGCCATTTTGTTGTTTTCTTTCTTCTCATTTGTAATAGCGTTACGAACCGGGCGTGAAAGTATCTTTGATGTAAGGTATTGTCCAACGCTAATTATCGCCCTTTCCAAATTTCGCGAAGTGATATCTTGAGAAAACGAAGCCGAGTACGTAATCAATCAATTACAATTTTTCCTTCCCCAGCTTAATAGTCTATTTTACCGAGCATTGTCGTGCTAAATGCCCCGAACGAGTTTCACTAATTACATGATTCCTTATTGACTGCTCCAATCAGCTTTGCAGCTTCCCCGCGTTCAATCATGTTGATGTGAACCAGAACGATGGACTATAGTCGTGTTTAAATCGTCAATAATGAGTTAATGATGTACTATTCTTATGGCAATTAAACATTTGGAAATCATTGGTATCCATTTAAAATTTGCGCCATATTTTTTTTTAAATTCCTAAGTTTCTTTCGGCGCGGATTAATCGTGATCTCAGAGATATAGATAGATTTCTGAAAAACTTAACGCACTCTCCATATTTTGGCTCGGCTAGAGCATAGCGACGTACATTAACAATCTGTACATTTCAGCGGCTGAAAGCTTCACATGACAAAGTAATATTTCTCATCAATCCTGAGTTGAACCCTTAAGATCAGCAATTTTTTTTTTATTTATATTTTATTTATAGAAATATGCTCACCATATTTCTATAAATTCACAAATATTCTATAATCTTAAAACTTATCTCATCTATATTTCATCACAAAATTCGTAGGAATCCCGAGGCGAGTATATCAATAAGATGTAAAATTGGAAAAATGAAAAATTTGATTCGGCCTCACTCACGAATAATATGCACAAGCAATTCATAAGAGAGCGCAGCGCCTTGGTCGCACGTAAAGAGGGAGCATACAACAAGTAAATTAAATGCAATTCATTATTATCCACAAAGGGGAATGCTTACCAACCCTAAGCTGCCAGCACATAAACACCAAAAACGTAGTATTTTAAAAGGCTTTGTTAAACCGTTAGCACCGTTAACATTCAAATGATTCATGACGGATTTGTAATTCACCTAACGGCCATCTATAAAAATCAAAGGCATTTAAAATGAATGCGACGATGATCCGTCCACTTTGAAAGGCGAGAAATCGCTGAGAAAAATCGTATTAAAGTTAATTAAAATGCCGAGAATTGAAAATTTTTGGCCTCGTACTCTGAGGAACTCGTTTATAAACTAAATAAAATGTCAATTTTATTCGATGTAATTCTTTTGCGAGATATGTGTATTTTCTGTACACATATGAACGTACAAATGTGGTTAATTTGTAAAAAAATGTGTACATTTCTCTTCCTTTTCGACATTTCTTATCAGCAACGAGGAGATATGATACCAAAGATATTGAGTTATTAACAAAACCATCAATATAATCGTAAGTTGTCGTATTCTGTACAATTTCTTGTGCAGAAAAGAGAGGGGTAAGAATAAAAGCATGCCAACTGCTACTCCAAGTCAGTTTAATTAAATGACTCATTTTTCCTCCCTCTCATTAGAACAAAAAAAAAAAAAAAAAGAAAAAATAAATTAATAAATAAATAAATAAAAAAAAAATAGTAAATGTTGACTAATTATTTTCGGTCCGTAAAAGATAAACATTAGTTTAATACACTGCTTTTGCAATCGAAACAAAGCAAGCAAATCGTGCTCCGATTGTAACAAATTTTCAACTCATTGTAAACTTTACCGCCTCCGAGTAAATAACGTAATATAATATAGTGCAAAATGAAAAAGCGAAGCAAATCTACTCATATACGATATTTAAAATCATACTTTCAAACAATTGAATAGCATTTAAATAATTATTATAAAGCGAATTCCTTGAATACTTCATATTATTCCCTTATAGTTCTTTAATGACAATAGTGAGAGGCGAAATTCTTGTCATCGAACTTCGTATGAAAATTTTTATAAACAAACGTTTGATCAATCAAAGAGAAAATACGCTGAATTCATACAATTCCTGTACTTATTCCGATAGAGTAAAAAATTTTACATAATACATTAATCCTTACTATCCTCTAATTAAGGGTAAAATATACAACAAACTAAGTAACTAAGACTAAACTGATTAAATACCTTCATTTATCCAATCCTGTATGTTTTGTTCGTATACAATTTTTTATATAATAACATTCATTAGTTTTGAAGTTCTTTGGTCTCTTCTTTCAAATTCTTCTTTTGTATTAGGTGTTTGCGCAAAATTTTGATCAACGACTTCTACATGTAAAAGTGATAAAGAAATGGGAAATAACAGTATACATAACGCTCGAATTCTATGATTTTGATCTTCTTCTATATAAAACGACAATTTTCTATTTAATATTATTGATTTATTCAGCATACGCCGACGTTTAATCATGAAACGTTCAAATTTCTTCTTCTTTCAAATTCATTACTTTTGTTGGTTATTTGGAGAAATCTGCAGCCGCAGCCGCACCAAACACGTTCAATGGTTTATGGTGATCCTGTTCCATCGTATCCCAATTGTCGGTTTTGGCTCCAACGTGGCGACATGAATTAACTGAAAATGCTATTTGTTGGGAACTTGTTGCAAAAGTTATCCAGGATACACTTTTGTATCTCGAATAGGAACTTCTGCCACATGCAGCGTCCCCACCAGGTATAGTGCCTCCTAAGTACCACTTGTTCGGATCGGTGCAACATGCCTTGGTCCGCAAAGTTGAAGAAGTGCAAAAATAAGTGAGTGGATAGATCGCTGCCAAACCAATATAAGTGCTTTCGTCGACATGATATCGCCATGTTGCCAAAAATATAGTGAAATATTGTAGAAAATGATGGAAACTCTTTTGATTAATATATTTTGTCAATTTTTTACAATAAATGCCGCTTTCAAGTGAAAAAGTGATCAAAATTTTTGCAAACACCAATTATCAATGTTGCATTGATGTATACTATATAAATACTGAAATAAACAGTTATTTTTTTTAAATTCATCATTTCCGCATAAGTCATAAACAGTTATTTGCCACCGAACACATATTTCTTGACAAACTAATTATTACTATAATTAGTTCATATATACAGAGTGTACCACAAAGAATATACTTAATGTGCCTAATACAAGAAATGTCGCGATGGAAGTTAATTTGGATTGTAATCACGTATGAGACGCTTTGTATTCAGCTGCTTGGCAAAAAGGTGAAAGCTGACTTTCAGCTATGTAAATTACTCCCTTATGTTATTACAAAGGAAAGAAGGGAGAGAGAAAGGCAGTTCCTTCAAGATATTGTTAAACGCCACATATTGACTAACAAATCGCGTTTACAATCCCCTTTTTAAATTTGCTGAGAATAAAATTTTTTTTCTTCATATATTTTTTATTACTATTCCTTTTTTTTTCTAAGCAAATAATTTTTTTTTTATATTTTTAATAGGCATTTTTTCAAAATAAATACATTAAATTAATAATAAAAAAATTACCTAAATTACCTATTCTACTTGTCCAATTAAATAAATAAATTGTAAATAAAACAAGTAAGAACTTTAAATTTAATTGGGACCGAAAAGAAATAAAAATACAAAATTTTCGTGCTCTATAATATGGGGTGGACGTAGTTAATCTTTTATATTTTCAAAATAAAAGTTATTGTCGTACACGCATGTGGGCCTTGTAGGCGTGTCCTTTAAAAAGTTTAGATCATTTCCAAATTCCTTCGCAAATTTTTAGGCGATGTCTTCACTTTCGCTAAGGTAAGATTGTTTACCACAAACAGTACAAAGTTACGCAAACAAACAGATGGACAGACGAACAGGCGGACATGTTTAGGTGCATTCCAAATTTGAAATTGGCCAAGAATACCTTATATACCTTATAGGTGTGTGTTTAAATTGTTGTGCATTTATTTTCTGTTGTTTATGAGTAATGAGTGTTCTCAGTTTAAGTGATGTTGTAAGTGTGTCCTTTGTCCAATCTGACCCATTTTCAATACTGATCTGCGTGCAAGAATTTCTAATGTTTCTGCCAAATTTTAAGTTGATATCTTCATTTTTTCGGCTAGCACAATATTTATAACTACGCTACACAGATGGACAGACGGACATGCTTCAATCGATTTAGAATTTCTTGCTGATCAAGAATATGTATACTTTGTGGCGTCTCTGATGCTTCCTTCTGGGCGTTGCAAACATTTCGACAAAATGAATATACCCCTCATCCTTCGGTGATGGGTATAAAAAAAAAACTTTAATCAAATAATCAGTAAAGTAAATAAATAATAATATCATATATCAAATCTAACCCCAACTTTACTAAGGACCAAGCAAAGAACTCTGTGCTTACATTAGGCCTTTTTTTCCACATCCCAGTGAATTTGCTGAATAAGTGAAGAAGAAGAACGTTTTTTTCGGCATAATTATTTTACAAGTCTTTGGTTAGAAATTAATTTAGATGTGCACAAAAACGGTAAGTTTAAAAAAAGAAACATATACATAGGTTTTGGAAAGTATATAAATGTCTTAACAAGTAATGAAATAAAAAAAAAGTGATAAATTTAATAATCTTATGCTTAGTGAGGAATTTAAAGAGAATAGGTTTGTTTAAATTAACAGCAGTTGTAGTAAATATATTCCAATTTTTAACGGTTAACGAAATTCTCTTCCTTTGATTTCTGCCTTTTTCCGCATCTTACTGGCTTGGTCTATATTAACAGAAGTGGTGAGAACGCTTCCGTTATTAAACATCATTCATCAGCCATGAACAGAAGATGTCATGCATGCTGCAAAACCTTCGAAACCTTACAAGAATGCCTGAAGCACGATCTGCTGGAGCACAGTTTACAAAATAAGAAAATGAATTGTAGCTTCAACAATCTTTGCAAAGCTGCACTCAAATTTTTAACAACGCCAGAAAAATTGGAAGAGCGCGCTAAAGTACGAGAGTGTCTTAATCATTGCAATGCAGGCGATGAATTGCTAACCATTTTCCAAATACTCTGCATGAACAATAATAATTTAGAATTACAGTTCGAGCGTATAAAATCTTGCTTGCATAGTGGACTAAAAGTCTTCGAAACTCAATTGGAAATTCATGCATTCGGTTCAATTGTAAGCAAGCTGGCTCTAAGAGGTAAATGTAACGTTTTTCTTTGCTACGCCTAACACTGTGAAATAATTTATGATTTTTCTTACTTAAATTCAGATTGTGACATTGATGTTTATTTGGACGTAAAGGAAATACAGTTACAGGAGGCTAATGGAACATCAGGAAAACTAAATTCACCTCCCTTTATGCGGAACTCAAGTAAACATGACACAATATTCAATACTGTTTATCGTATTTTGAGGGAAAGTGAAAATTTCTCACAAGTTCGGCCAATACGTAGCGCTCGGGTGCCAATAATCAAATGTAAACATAATTCCACGGGCTTTAGTATTGATATTAATGTCAGTTGCCCGAATAGCTTGGAAAATACTCGCTTTCTGCAGGCAATAGTTGAAAGTGACGATCGCATACATTCCATGCTATTGTTTCTAAAAATATGGGCAAAACATATGCAAATCATTAATCGAGCCAATGTCACCAGTTATTGTCTGATAATTTTAGCGGTATTTTATTTACAACAGCCACTACAGGGCCATGATCGTTCCATCATACTGCCAGTGCAGAGAATTCAACAAAATCTCTGTGCACGTATGGTACAAGGCATAAATTACTCCTTCGATATAGAATGTGAAGAAAATCGAGTCTATTTGCCGGCTTCTATTACCACGTTGGATTTAATTAAAGGGTTTTTTAATTTTTATAAAAATCTCAATATATCCGAATACGTATTGTCGCCATATTTGGGCGTAAATATATTACGCAAAGATTTTGTTGATGACAAGTGCGCCTTTCTAGCATATCACAATCAATTGATAACAGTTAGTCAGTATTTTGGCGACGATGCTCAACAATTTGAAATTGACCGCTGTGTATGTATTCAGGATCCGTTTAATCTTTCTCATAATATAGCCAGATCTATGGTTAGAAACAATAAAGAATACTTTCATTGCTGTCTCGCTTACGCCTGCACCATATGCGAGGAAAATAACAACGCTTCAGCCAGGGAGTTATATGAAAAATTACTATATGATCCCTACAAATCTAAATAGACCATACCACGAATAGTAAATGTTGCTTATGTATATATAGATCGAACAATTGTGCTAGCAATGAGGACAAACACTATTGATAGAATTTTAAATAACGAATGAAAGTTGTGCATTGATTTTACATTTCCTCTCAGCCGCAGTGATGTACGGGCCATTACTGGTACTGTTGGCGAGCATCAAGATTTTTTAGAGAATTTGCCAACTGGCATTGCCGAATGGCCCTCCTGCCGTAAACTTAACGAAGAAACATCCTATAAGCCGTTTCTTTACCATATTGAAATTTATTATCGAAAATTTCAACCTTAAAGAAGCAATACAATCAATCATCTTTAATTCAATGTGTCTTAGCTAACACCTACGACGGTTCGGAACATTCGAAGACAAATGATAGCAATTCAGTTGTTGACTACATTTTCCTATTGCTTTTAAATTGGATATAAATATTTTTTTTTTTTTTTTTTTTTTTTTTTAAATCGCCGCACCGGACTCTTTTTTTCAATAATCTGTTATTGAATTTTTAACAAATTATACATTTCTGACTGAGTACAACAAATAAACCAATTGTCTCAGAAATAGTGCATAATATGCGTTTTGGTCTCTCTGCATACACATACATCAGACACTAGCACTGATGTATTGCCAAAAAGACATAGGCGAAGGTTGCAATGACAAGGCAAGTAAATAATCTTTTTTGAAAAATCCAACATCAATCAACGGCAAGACTACGGTTCCAATATTAAGTCAACGCTAGGCATAGGCACCTAATAGATTTCATTTCAACCATAGACAAAATTTCGAAAAGACATCTCTTCATGTATACATATGTATATATATATATATATATGTATATATATATATATATAATTGAGACTTGACTTGATCTGAGCATCAATTCTTGTCCTGGAATTGTGATCAACATGCGTAAATCTGTGATAATGAAGGCTGAAAAAGTTTAGTTTATAAAAAATTATTCTTTATTATAAATTTTCTCTTAGTAATTAGTAATTTTATGAATACTTGAATCTATGGCATTAAATTGGCATACTTTGTTATAATATCATATATAAGCATTAAAACAACGAAACGACTAAAATTTATTATATAACAGATTTTTGTGCTTAAAATTATGTCAAAAAGAAAAAGACATAAAAATGAAAAATAACAAATATCCTAAGGAGGCTTCATATTTGTGTGTACTCGTCTTAAAATTTTACTTTACTTATACCCACCAATTAAAGCACCAACAACTAACTATTCGATATTAGCGGGAAAATAGATTATAAACCATCTGTTCTCGACGTGAATTGATAGTTTGCGGTCGCCCAAATATTATAAATTATCGCGTTTTAGCTAAATTATGAATGAATACTCGTATCGTCCAATGGTGGATATAAAATAGGAAAGTTTTGCAAATTAATTAATTTTATCTAATTTAAGTGTAGATATATATTGTGAGCGTAATTTTTGTTTTGTTTTTTTTTTTTTTTTTTTTTTAAATAAATTAATAAATATTTACATAAAAGTTTTGTTTGTTTTTGTTATTTCATTGTAATTTTTTGGTTTTATGTTGTGCATTCTTTGTGCTTCTCCGTATGAAAATTTTGTGCTAGAATATTTTCTTCTTATGACACGAACAGTACTTTTTTGCTCCCCCGTCCGAAACGCATTCGGAATCGTGACTATAAGAGTTTAAGCGGCTTATCTCGCCCGTCACTTTCATATAACCGGTTACGGAATTGTAAATGGCGGTAGCCTCAAAAAGGGCCTTATTGGGTTTAGTGTAAAATAGAATGCGATAAATATCTTGATAGGTGTTCGGGTCAGTTTGTTTATCAGGTAATTCTAATTGTGATCGATAGGCGCTTTCGACATGATCGAACGTTAATGGTACGCACAGTTTTGCAAAGCTTTTGTTTTGGAAATTCTCGACATAGTCATTAATGTGATCGATGAGTAGGTGGGTAAGGGTGACGACAGTTTTGGAATTTTTATAGATGCTCTGATAGTGTAGGCAAGTGCACCAATGAGCTTCAATCGCTACATCGTCGCACGAACGATTATAGGGTACAGGTTTTAAAAGACTCTGACACCGAGGACACGATTCAGATGGGGCAAGTTCGTCTAGCTTATTTTTCACTCGTCCCGTTAAAGCAAGTATGTGCTTAAGAGTCATATGTAAATCGTAGGGATTCGTCAAACGGTTCTTGTTCGTACTTAAGGCACTTACAAAACTCGGATATTCCTGCTTAAGCTGCTGCGGTAACCATAAAAATATGAATGGCAGTCTCTCTTCTAAATGTCCCGAATTTGTTTTGCGCGTGGGTCCGTAGCGCATACCATGATCGCTGAAAAATATCACTATGGTATCATTTAAAGTTCCCGAATCGGCAAACCGTTTCAAGTATTCGACCATGCGACCATCCATACTAGTACAATCGCTGATGGCGTTATGACTAAAGGTGTTTGTCCAAAATAAACCAAAATATGTATCATTGCGATAACGTCTGGATAGTTCCAATGCGTATTCATAAACATAATCGGCGGAATGCTGATAACCCAAACAATATATTAAGTTTGATTTCAACTTCACTTGCAAGTGCTGCTCGGCACTCAATAGAAATGGTCTTAAATAATAATCAGCTGGTGGTTGCTCAAAGCCCACTTTCAGATAGTTGAAGGTGTTGATGCTGGCCTCATCCTCAGCATAAGCGGTAACGTAACCATATTTACGAAATGTATGCCAAATGAAATTGCAATTATCCAAACCGTGCAAGACAGTGGGCTTACAACGTTTTAAGGCAGTTGTCTTATTGAGACCGGTAAGTATAGCCATTAAATTGGGAAACGTATTGTCGTCAATCTGCAAAAGATCAATTTTGATAGATGAATTTAAAAGAATCTCTTCTACCTTATTATAGCCGCTCAATTCGAACCATTCATTATCGTATAAATATTGGGCTGTTTTTGGCATGGCACGTATTAGATTTATCCTTGATATACTATCGATGCCAATCATCAGCACATTTGGCGGTTTTTTGCGGTTATGTGTTTTGTCATATCTCTTCCAGGCGCTCAGACGTTCTCGTATGTCTGGACGTTCAGGCATTAAGGGATGACCGTTTCTATAAATCTGTTTACGGTTCGCGCGACAAGTAACCAAAATATTATCTATGGTAGAGGCCAGCGGGGTACGATCACGAAAACTTAAGCACTCCGATAGACTAGCGATAAAAGATATACAAAATTGATCAAATTTTTTTTTTGTTTGAAGTGATCGAAAAAATTCAAACCTACCTTACCTCACATCACAATCCGCCCTACCACCTGTGCTATTACGCTCTATTGTTTGATAACAACAGTCCAAAGGCTTCTTTTTACTATACACTTTAACAAGCTCTTGATTGATTCTTAGCGTGTAACGGCCGAACGTTTGATTGAATTCAATTCGCGTTAGGGGCGTCTCGATGTGGCACGGCTTATATTTCTCTCGCTTAAAATGACGCATCATTTCTGGTAAATATGGATCCAAATTCGGCATTTTGCAACGTTCACTCCAAACCAGATAACCTGTCGGCGGCGGAGGTATGTGAGAATTATGCGCGGCGGAAACATTTTCAGTAAAATAAGAAGTAGAAAAAGAAGAAGATGAAGATAAGTTTAAAGTTAGATCATTTGTAGTAATACGAGGCTTGTGCTCTGTTGTGGTTGCCGTCCTACTGGTAAAGATGAAATGCTGTGAGAGCAGCTGGACCGCTGCTCAGACACATCAGCAATTAAATCGTTGCGAATACGTACACACATTGAACAAGGGTGGGTATACATGGCAAACGAGAGCAACATAGTGAGAGAGTGACGTAAATCAGTGAGCACAAATAAAATCGCAAACAATAGCAAACGTACAGTGCATGCATGCAGTGTATAAATAGCCAGAAATAAATAAAGAAAATAAAGAAAGAAAAGAACATAGCAAATACAAATTTTTAGTTACATTTTTATAATAAAACAAAAATAATAATAAAAAAAAAAAAAAAAAAAATAGGATGTGACTACTCTCTACACCTTCACCCGTCTTGCGTTTAAGGGCTCAAGGTTAAGAGAGTAATCAGCAAAAAAATGAAATGTATGAAGATTCTCTTTACATAAAAAAAAATAAAAAAATTACTTAAAATCAATTCATTACGAAAATAAAAAACATTCAATAAATAACTCAGATTTGAAAAATTTTAGGAAAAACAAAGCTTTCCAAACGATTTTTCAAAGAAATTCAAATTTTTATTCTATTATATGCCACTGGTTTTCTTAGCTCAGCTACAAATATCTTTTTATTACACAAAGTACCGATTGATTGTCACGGCCCGTCGTCCAGATATACTTTGAAATATATACTTTCGACTAGCATTAGGTCCTGATGAAATGATTTCACTATATAATGCGAGAATGCGGGAGACAAGGCTTATAACTTTTTCACAGATCAGCGCCTACGTATTTTAAACCAAACTGACAAGGTTTGAAGAAGAAGAAGAAAATGGCCTAAATCACATCGGGTTAACCAATTCTTAAATTATTTGTTTATTGCTTTCCTCGATGCAAAGGCGTACTTTTTCATAAGAGCCCTCCTTTAGCTACAGCTTAGAGCGAAAAACGAGAAAAGACTTTGTACATATTTGTCGAAATTCTTCAAAATTTTAAAAAACTACGATCTTTTGTTGATCCATTGATCCATTTGATTCAAGCTTTTTAAATGAATTTTGTAAGTGAAAATTCCAAAAAAAGAAAAAGAAATAGTTTTTATATAACATTCTCAGAATAGGTCGCTCTGAGTCGTTGCGTAGATCGATCAATATTAAATCTTATCGGAATGTTACATTCATCCGCAGGGACTTGATATAATCTGTGCAAAGAGAATTAAAAATATTATTGTCGATAACTTGAAAGCTACATCTGGCATCAATACAAATGTGTTACAAATATTACATGCCGACAATAGGAGTATAAGTAAGAAATTTATATGCGGTTAAGGCCGAATCTTTTTTATGCTCATCATGGATGGATTATGCAAATATTAATTGTTGTAGTTTATGAGTAATGAGCAGAAAAAGAAAGACAAAAACACAAGTGTTCTTAGTTCATGCTGCATCGCGGACCGTTATGGCCCGACTTTGCAATGCTAACCTGTATTTAAAGGCTTCTTTTATTCACCATAGACACTGCATAGATAGAACAGACAGACAAACGGATATGCTTAAGTCGCCTCATAATCTAATGATGTAAAGGGCGTAGCTGAAGCGTCCGTCTGGGTGTGATAAACCTTTTGACAAAATGTATATACCTTTCCTTATGTGAAAACGCTTCGTTATTACTTAGTGATAGTGATTATCGAAAATTCCCCTGAAAAAGAAGATGATTTTTCGTTTGCATATTAGTTTTTCACATTCCATATCGTTGTACTTATGTCCAACTCTTTACTTTTCCATATGTTACATTACTCTTCAAGCTGGTTCAAACCAAGCATTTTAAAAATTCCGTGTATCATTAATTTTAAATTGTAAATAGGTTAATAAGAGCATGATGGATACCCCAAGGTTTTTGAAATCGATCATGAGTTGGGTAACAATAAGTAACACACAATACGCGTGGGCGAGGGCATGTTGAATGGATTCAAGTGGTGACGTGATCATTCTGAAAATGTTTCTTACACTCTCTAAGGAACGTTGACTTCTAACCCAGTACACATACATATCCCAGGGCCAGCTGAAATAACAGTGTAAAATGCAGCGTGAGCCCAATCAATGAACTGACACAAAAAACAATATTCGACAAGAGTGAAGGATTTTTGTCATTTTTACAACAAAAAAAAAAAACCACTGATGTTCTCCATTTATACTCTATTATCGGCGTGTGGGCCCACTTTGAATACCATCCTTCGTGGAAGAAACCTTTACAGGCGGGCAAACGTACAGATAGACAGGTAATGCAGCGTAAATCGCTTTAGACTTTGATACTGATCAAGAATATAGTTATGCGTAGTTGATAGGAGTTCAAAAGCTTTCTTCCGGCTATTGCAGATACGGGTGGCCATACGATGGGCGTAGTAAATGCAATCTTTCTTCGCTAGCAAGCAAATATTTCTACCAAATTTCAAATCAGTTTCTATCAAATTTAAAAATACGTCAAAGTCGGTGATGAACGAGAAACACGCTTCCACTTGGTCTATGGAATCACTCACAGAGCAAGGAAAAATAATCTAAAAAAAAATCTGAAATCGTGTAAGAAGATTACCTTTTTATACGTATATATTGATGTAATAAACACACACGTGCACGTTATGAACCGTTAAAATTTAAAGAAAACTTTAAAAATACTTCTGAGAAGAGAAAATAGAAAGATTTATATTGTCCATGAAATTGGATTGTGAAGCATTTACTCGAAGGTTTGTTGAGACGAAGCAGATCATTTTATTGGATCTACTTCGTAAGTGAGACTGAATATGAATATTTCTATTATTATATACTTATCGTGTGCTATCTTATAATTTCATGGATGAGAATGGGCAGTAGGAAACGCTTCATTATGACAAGGTAACTATTGTGCACAGACACATAGACGGGAATCGAACGAACTCTTTGAAAAGTCTTTTAAAACGCTTTTACGAGCCGTACTTGAACAGAAGCAAAGCTTAAGTGGCCACTATCTTTGATTTAATCATTTCCTGTTTTTTTTTTGTTTTCATTTTCCTAAAGCTTTGATTCAAAAATTAACTAACTCGACACGCAGGGACTCAATATTTACAATTGTCGGAAAATCCGATAGCTTTTTTCTACTTTGGCATTACGAATAAAATAAACAATTTTATATACCATTCGGTTAGGTGGTAAACATAAAAAAAATAAAACAAAAAAAAACTTGTAAATAAAACATTTTGATGTGTTTTGCGAAAACAACATAAAATAAGATAGAAATGATAAAAAAAGGTGAAAAAAAAAGAAGAAAACATCGCACGACGCATTACATTAATTTTGCACCCTATATATATGCTCGCTTACCTTTCATGCCCGGCACATGTGAATGCAAGTGTTGCAATCTGAAATTTTTTTCATCGCCATCCCTATCCAGATCGCTGGCATTGTCGGGATCGCCATTGTCTAAATGATTTAATGTAGCATTTACAAGAAACACAAATATTGCCAAAGACAATAATAAAAGCCACTGTTTACGTCTCCACGCAAGCGGTCGCCAACGAAACGGTTTCTTCGTTTCATACCATACAACCGGGCTATTTAATGATGAACGACTGCGATCGTTGCGATCGTTTAAAATATTTTTATTAATATCTCGGGATGAATTTTTAATGGCTTTACTATGTTCCGTCTGTTTACCGTCCTTTATTAATTTATGCGATTCTTTAACGGATTCCTTCATGGTAACAACAATGATGGCAGCATCTTTCGTTTGAATACAAAGTGTTGAAATTCTTTTTAATTAAATTTAAAAAAAAAATAAATAAAAGACAAAAGCTTATAACAAAAACACCTGCAGTATGTTAAATGTCTTTTTTAACGATATTCGCCGCCTCGCTTAGCTGAAGCTATTAAGAAAAACTTCAACTATTAAATGTTTGTTGTTTCTATTAAAAATTTTACAATTTTCTTTTTTGTATTACTTTAATTGCAAAAAAAAATATGGTTTTTTTTTTTATTTATTTTATTTGTCTGATTTTCACATATTTTTGTAGAAATGAAAATTAAATAAAAACCTAAAATGTGCTGCAACGTTTGATGAAAAGTCACGACATTTAACGCACGACAAAACGGAATCAGTTGAATTGAGTAAATGTATGCCCGACCAATCGTATATAATGATATTGATGCTGTATTTGTTAAATAATAACCATAACAATAACAACAACGCTTAATAAGACCCTGCAAAGCATTTGAAAAGCGACAGCAACTAGTAGATTAGTAAGCGATAAAAGTCGACCAATTGTTGCCGTATACGGTTATCTAAAGTAATTGGTTTTTTTTTTTCTTTCTTTTTTTAAGGAATTGAGAAAATGCACAAACACACACACACACACACACACGAAAGGAATTGAGAAAAAAACAGCAACGGTCTTCTTATTCCCAATCTGGCCTATTTCACCAATAGCGGCAATTTTTAGTTATTATGTTTAATGGTCTAGAATATAGAATCTGATCTATTCCTTCAAATAAACCCAAATCGAAATAGCCCAAGGATGTTAAATCGCAATTATTAATAGTTGAGTTGCCCTTCGTATATTGGAATTTCTTGATATTATTATTACATCCACCAATTGCTATAGAAGAACGTACCTTACGACAATATTACATGGCTGGAATGCTATTTTTCACAAACAAAGCCGCAAAATGATTATACGACTGTCGCGATGTATGAGCATAAGAAACTGTGCATAAAGTTTATGAAAAAGCTTTTCTTTTATTTTATTAATTCCTAATGTTTATGTTTCTTTTTCTTTCCAAAAGTTCATTTAAAAAGTTCTCTAGTTGAGCTAATCGCAAAAAAAAAAAAAAAAGAAAAAAAAAACAATAAAAAAAAGCAAAGACAAAGTATATGTGTATTAATAGTTGGATAGATGTTGCATGTTGTTGTTGCGTTAATCGAAAAATATTATGCTTTCGAAACATTTCGAAATCCGCGTTTAATGCGTTCGCGTTTCACGCTCAGCGCTCTAGCGACTCTACGATTCGTTCAAACTTGACAATTTTTGCTTTTCATTTTTTCTTTATATATAACTTATGCAAACCAGATTTGCCTTTCGTCATCATAAAATTGAAAAGCAAAAGGGAAGTCGCTGATCTGATATGCGCATAATTTCGATTTTATAATGAATATACAAATTTGATAAATTATTAAATAAAATGCATAAAAACGGCAAACATTTGCGAAATTTTTTTTTTTCTTTTTTCCTTTATATTATTTAAACGCTTGAAATTTCCAATATCCTGTATAAAATGATGGTGTGTTTGGATAATAATATCTTTCAAGTAATTTTAGTTATCAGTTGACCCATTTAATTGGGAATGGAATCCTTAATAATTTGCCACGTCATCAGGTATTTGAGGGAAAAATGTTCACCAAAGGATAGAGTCAATAATGAGCGAATTTTATTCAGTCAAAAAGCTGCCTACGTACACCGTTCAAATCTGAATAGGGAAATGTTCAAGTGTACAAGAAGAAGAAGAAGAATATGGAATTTTTTTTAAATTAAAAAGTATGTATAGACTTGGACTTAACGTACATACATACATACTAATTAAATTGTATTGCTGCGAAAATCGAACGAATAGACGAATAAATGGACAGAAAGGTATTACAATAATTTAAAATTTCCGAAGGACCCAGCGAAAGCACTTCAATAGAATAAATGTATTCGTTTTAAGGTTAACGGTACAAATGATGTGATGTCGATAATAAATTTATTACATACACATATATATATATATATATATATATATATATGCGTGTGTGTGCGTGCGTATGTTACGATTATTACACACACATATATATATATATATATTTATAGTTTTGCCGCTTAAGGAAAATTAAAGAATGTCCTTCTTTCTAATCCTCTTTGAAAACGAAAAACTTTAATTATTTTGAATTTTACTTTATTTATTATTATTTATTTATTTATTTATTTTTATTTATTTATTTATTTTTTTATTTATTTATGTATTTTTTTTGATGACACATCAAATATACACACTAAAGTTTTTCGGTTTATATATATACACACACACATAAGAATCTTTTTTCGGTAATGTCCTTTGGAAGGAAAAACTTGTGACGAGTGAAAATCATTAATTGTTTTGATATTGTATCATTTTTCTCACACACAAACTTTTGTTTACATTATGAATATTACAAAAAAAACAAAAAGAAGCTATTATTTATTTATTATATTACTTAATTTTTTACAATTAATTTGAAAGCAATTTACTTTGAATATGAATAAATATACCTTGCAATATATTTATTGACTAAATAATAATCGCACTTTGTTACACATGGCCTTTACCCGTCTATATTTTGCTTAGGATATCCAAACTCATACATTTTATTTATATTACTGAGAGCGCATGAATAAATTAAACAGTAAAATGCATTTCATTCATTCATTAACAAACCTTATCGACAAAAGAGCGCGCTATTAACCCCTTGCTTGCAATGTAATTGTTTGTTATCGCGCAAGCGCGCTTTAAACATCCCCCAAGTAAAAGGCATAACAAAAGCGAAACGGAAAAAGGAAAGAGAATTGCTTACTAAGCGATTATGCTTTGTTCAAGGAGAGATCGAAAGTAAGAGAGGCAGAGAGAGATAGAGAGAGAGAGAGAGAGAGAGAGAGAGAGAGAAGGGATAGATGCAGTATAGAAAATATTTTATTTTCCATTTAAATTTCCCTACCTTTACAATCGTTTCCAGGAAGGGTGTATATGGACATGCTGACATACTGACGGCATCACATCTGATAAAACGGTGAATATTTATGTATGTATTTATTTTGTTCTCTGAAAAAAAAAAAAAAAAATGTAAAAAGCTTTCTTTTTCTTTATAAGAGAAAAGCTTTTCGAAATATATGAAATATAGGATGAAACTAGAAAGTATTTTCCATATTCCTATTGCAACATACGTATGATAGATATTGTGCGACACAGAGGCAATGAAACCTTTACCGTTAATTCAGAGTTTCCGTAGAGATGCATCAATACATTTTCAGGAGAAGACGTGCACGGGTTGTCGAGTAGTGCAAAGCTAAGATATAAATATTGCCAAATTAGGCTGAGTTAATCATCGTATTAACAGACTAAAGGTAGTTTTTTGCTTTCTCTTTGACTTGTATCGGATTGCCTCGACAACAACAAATAATGTCAAATATCCCAATGAGCAATACCAGCCCGAAATAAGCAAGGTACAATCAAGAGGTAATCACGTATTACGTCAATAATTCTTCAAAAGTTTCTATTACGCTTTGAACCGCCAATTTTGAAAATTGATGCTGATCATAATCGAATAGAGTCGGTGTGTAAGCAAATGTCTGCCGGAACTACTATAGGAAACCGTTAAACTACAAATACAAATTATCTCATACAAGTATAATATTTGATTAGGCGTGCGCGGGTTGAACAAGCAGATGGCATAGGATGCTTGATTTAAGTTCGATAAAGGGAAATGCCTTAAATGGATAAAACGAAAGAAAATTGATATTCAATGCGAAAAATGCAAGGTCGTATACATCTTTAGTAATTCGGAAAAATTAGTGACAAGGGTCTGCTTGGGTAATAAACAAGTAAATAATATTGAATAATACTTGATCACAAATAATGCTAAAATAATCGCATTCATGCAAACATATTCTTATTTTTTCTCAATACCGTTAACAGCGGTGGCAAACTATGCATTTATTTGGATTTAAAATTATTTTCGTTATAGCAAAATAACGGTTTACCTATACTTTCATATGCGCTCATGTAAAATATGAGAGATTCCTACAAGACCTATTGCTCAATGCATTGCCTATAATATAATAACGCTATACACATTATACATTATACATTTACATATATATTGTAATCGGTCACATAAAAAGTCTTTGCGGTTTTTGTCCCCGGTTTCGGTTTTCCTGCTTTCTGTAGCCAGCTGCTATCCCTCACAGCTTACGGGCCGGTCTTGCTCTACCTTTTGCAAAATTTCATCGAGTTTTTCAGTGACTGCGAGGTGCGCATACAGATGTCAAAGGACATCGAACACCTCTTTCGATCCCGCCCTCGTTCACCTATGTTTTCGCATATTCTACCTTTTTTATTGTAAAAATCATCACACAGCGTATCTCTTCACATATTTTACTCACTTTCAAATCAATGCGACTTTTTACTCGAGTAGAGTATTCGAAAACTATCTTCACAAAAAGTGTAAGCTGAAATGTCACCTTTCTAAGCACATAGTCATTTTAGACAATTAGATGAGTGTTGCCCAATATATAGGCATTAACACCATTCCGCGGAAAAAAAACCGCAAAGACTTTTTATATGATCTAATACATATAATCCAATGTATTGTAATAGCATCATATAGGGTTAGACGATATAATTGAGAAAGCAAAGGGAGAGAAAACAAGATTATCAAACAAAACTTAAATAAACAAAGTGCATACAATATGTAGGTAGATTCATTAAAGAATAACATGTGAAACATTGCGGGGCAAATCAACAAATTCAAATCGCGCTATTCAGCGTACAGTTTTAGGTGAACTAGAGTGAATCGTATAAGCGATATAGAGCAACAATTCTAAAATTTGTTTATTTAGAAAATCGTTACATGGATTGAATACCGCTAAGGATGATATGAAGTCAGCCAGATAAGATTGATAGACAGTTTGTTGTTTGCAGTTTGTTGATGTGACATTGAGAGACTGTATTCCGTGCAAGTGCAGCAAGATATAGCAATGGCGCTTGCAAAATAGTTTAACATATTAACATTATTAACATTTTGTTCGACAAATTTGACTGCGATTTTCTATAGAACATCAGGTAAAGAAATTTGATATAAAGACTTGCACGTTTGCACTGTGTAACCAACGAATCTTATCAAAATTTATTTTTAGGAAAAAACGATTACGATATTTGAGCGCACGATTGCTTGTTCACGAAGAGCGCAACAGAGGACAAAAAAATCTCATCTCATTGGTGAAAAATGTTGAATCCAATGCAATGCAACAGTTGAATACCTGCGCAATATAATAAATATCGTAACGATCTCAATGCAGTGCTCTGTAGCATATCAGCAGCAATTTCTATATAAAAATAGGGGAATTATTTGTTTGCTTTAACTAAAAATGAGAGAATTGTTAAAAAGCTTGTAGTGATCTTACGATCAATCCATTCTAATAGACGTTGTCGAGAAGATTTTCAAAGTTTAAAAGAATCACTCGAATAATTGCGTCTTTTTATACCCACCACCGTAGGATGAGAGGTATATTCATTTTATCAAAACCTTTGCAACACGTAGAAGAAAACATCAGAGACTCCACAAAAAATATATGCATTCTTGGTCAGCGTCAAATTCTAAATCAATTTAAGCGTGTCCGTCTGTCCGTCTATGTGGTGTTTGTTATTGGCACACTCCTGCTTGCAAAAATGAAGATATCAACTTAAAATTTGGCAGAAATAGTGGAAATTCTTGCACGCAGGTTGATATTGAAAATGGGCCAAATCGGTTGAAGGACACGCCCACAGCATCACGTAAACTGAGAACACTTTAAATAATAAATTTACAAATAAATTCACAAAAGTTTGACCGCATGTTCAATGGGTGATGCTGTTGCATTCGTGCACAAAAATTGGAAAAAATTGACCACGCCTACCCAATAGTGTAACAAAGATTACCTTTATAACGCGCAAAAGCAAGCTTCAAAAACCCCATAAAGTATACAACTTCTTGGCCAGTTTCAAATTTGGAAATATGTCCGCCTGTTCGTCTGTCCATCCGTCTGTTTGCGCAACTTTGTAGCATTTGTGGTAAACATTTTGGTTAGTGAAAATCAAGATGTCAAGAATTTGGAATTGATCTAAACTTTGTAAAGGACACGCCTACAACGACCACATGCCTATACGATAAAAAACTTTTATTTTGAAAATAGAAAAAATCAACTGCGCCCAATCCATATTATAGAGCGGGAAAATTTTGTTTTTTTACTTTTTTTATCTCTTGTAGTATAATGATGATGGGTATAAAAGGTTCGGTGCCGAACGAATATAATTTTCTTACTTGCTATTAATACAGTTTGTCAGGTTTTTAGTTTGTTGTGCTTAGATTCGCGATAGCGAGTAAAGTCGATCGCTAGTCTGACATTTGAAGTGATAGCCGTCGATTATCGAGGCGATGGACGGGTTGGTAAGTTCACAGGCGATCCATAAATGGTGCATTTCTATATCCCGTATACACCAGTTAAGAAACACAGGCATATTAACTTTCTGCAGATGTATGAAATGCCCAGAAAAGCTTGAGAAGGACCGAGCCATCATTACACCGAGCTTGTGTGTACTGCTGTCGTCGTTGTTTTTATTTGTTCAACTTACAGGCTGCAATTGTTGAGATATTGTAATGATGAAATTGATTGCACTGACATGTTTTGGTCCAAGGCCGAACGCTATTGAAAACAAACAGATCAGAGCACTTTTTAGATGACTTCGCATATAATCTTTATATGAACAATCGTATTTAAGCAACGTATCATAGTATATCTTCTACTGGAACTTGACTCGGTCTAGTGTGTTTACATGTTTTTTTTTTTATTAGTTTATTATCTTTTTTGACTGTACGACCGATTAAAGCGGAGATCTTTGTAGAATAATGCCGTTCGAGGGGATCATTATATATATTTTTAAGTTTTTCATAAAATTTTTCAACTGAAATCATTAAGAAAGTATGTGGTCCGTATCAGATACGCAAAAAAATTACATTTAACGCCATCCTCGTCTAAGGGAATTGCTAACTTGCTTTCCCTTCAAACGACCTACTACTCAAGCAAGTAGAGATTATAATATAAAACGGATAGCCTTAGATGCTAGTGCTTTAAGACTAAGACTTCAGTTTCAGAGTTTATTTCTGTTTCTTTAGCTAAATTTCGACAAAGAGACGATGCTTTTTTGCTTATGATAAATGTTTAAATTAATTTATCAAAAAATCGTCTGTGTTCCCCTAAATAAACTTATTTAAAAGATATTCGCAAAAATTCGAATGGAAAAGGAGACCATGTACGGGATAAAACGTTTTAAGGAATCGTGTTTAAAGCTTCACTCAAATGCAATTGATTTCTCTGCAATCCCAGAATTATAGAACTATTCTACTATGCCTCTCTGAAATAATTTTTTCTTCCCTTAACTTTTTCCCGAAGGTTTTAGGCTAAAACGCCCATCTATTTGCTGCATGTATGTTCTACACTTTTAATCTTTTGATAGACGGACTAATGATATTCCCCCTAGCGGAGCTATTCTAAATGTATTATTGCTTGAAAATGCTTTCCAGTGAAGATAAGAACTTTAGATTTGAACCTTGTAGCCGTTACTACACTAGAGAACTGGCCACGTTCCCCTGCACATGTTATTGCTTGGAAATGCTTTCAAGTGAAGATAAAAATTTTAGATTCGAATCCAGCAGGCGTTAGTGCACCAGAAAAGTTAGAAAACAGCGGAGAAGATGTTAGCCTATCACTTGTCAGTAGCGAAACTAACTAGTTCTTTCGATGCGCTCACGGAAGAGCCTTATTTTTGAGGAAAACGATTTTTTCGGGTAATGAATTTTGTGCCGCATTTCCTCCGGCAAGGCTTAAAGCGTCTATTTACCTACTAAAAATAAATATATATTTTTTCTGACCTCTATGCGGCGGTGTACGTGATGCAGTGTGTTCGCTTTCTAAATATGCGAAATATAACTTACCTCAGAATATATTAGTGTATCGATCAATGGTCAAACAACGCGATGAGTTTTATCAGTGGTAGTTGAGTGACCAAACCGTTAATATTTGTCAGGTAAGCAATTATGACGCCTTAAGTCTAAGGTGAAGCATATGTGTATGTATTTTCTAAGGATAGGGGAAATATTGCAGCATTTCGCCAAGCGGTGTGACGTGTATGCTATCACTGTCGCAGTTAAACCTGGTATGCGTGAAAGTATAAATTTACCTTGTTTCTATTAATGATTTAGAAAACACTTGCCGATGATAAATTTATTTATTATTATTTATTTAAAAATTCAATTAATAGAAAAGAAATTATAGTTTTTTTTTTTTTTTTTTTTTTTTTTTTTTTGAATAATATAATAATTTTTCCAATTTTCTTTATATCATCTTTATAAAATTATATAATGCGTTTACATATCGTTTGTTTAAATTTAGATTGTTTCTATGAATTTCAACTTATTTACAAGAGTTTGACATATGCATTTTCTTTTAAAATTTATTTATTTAAGAAGAGTATATGAATAATTCAATAAAAGCGATACGACATTAATCCAAGGACTCGTTCTCCATAAATTAAAAACTACGAATCAAACTTTGAAAGACTAAATATAGGAGAAAGAAATAAAAAAAAAAAAAAAAAACACTATGATTCTAATTAAGCAAAACAATATTATTTTTAGTCACGTTGTGTGCTTGATGGTAAACAAAAACATAATAATAGTCACAGTAATTAGCACTGGCTCTAACAATTGTTAGCATCGCTAGGTTAAAGGACAGCCATTATTATTATTGTTATCGTCCTTTAATAGCAAGGTAACAATTGTAGTTAAAAAGCGCTTCAATATTTTTGTTTGATTTGTTTTTTTTTTTTTTCTCTTTAGAATAAATTAACTTTAACTAGGGAGTAATGCAAAAATTTAAATAAAATCGATCAACCATGACAGACTAAATATTAGGATAAATGCTTTCGTTTAAATGCAATAAAAAAAAAAAATAATAATAATAATAAAAATAAAATCAAATAATAATAATATCGAGGTTCTCTACCACAACAACATTGGACGATGTCTGGCTAAAAAGTTTGTGACGCGTGCCGGTTTATTGAACGAAGGCGCAGGACATCCTAGAAAAAGATGATATATATATGTAAATATGTAGATATGTATATATGTATATATATGAGAAATGTATGTACTTACTGCATACTGAGCATGTTTGTTCATCGGTACCATCACCGCACCCATCACGGCCTGAGCAAACAATGGCGGTGGAACGACAGCGTCCGTTACTGCATCGGTGCGGGCAATAAGCTGAAATAGGGTTGCTAGTCAAGCCACCGGCTGTTAGCAATTTAAGAAAAAGATTGGGCATAGAACGAGAGCCACATAGGTGGGGTGGTTCGTCACTCCCATCACGGCAACTAATTATGGCATTACAATACTCATACTCGGGCAAACATTCGCCGCTCTTGCAACGGAATGTATGTAAAGGACAATCCTCGTTGGATTTTAGATCGCTGCAGCCTAATTCGTCTTCACCATGCGGGCACTGTTTGCGACCATCGCAAAGAGCTGCTCTGGAAACGCATCTAGAACTTACGCTGCATCGGAAAGCCTCCGTAGGACAAGTTTGATTTAAACGGGCATTAATAGTACACTCTTCGTCAGAGGCGTCATTACAATCCGCACGACCGTCGCAAACAAAGAACCACGAGATGCATACGCCACTGGAGCGACACTAAAAAATAATTTTTTTTAAGAAAAAGAAAGAAAATCGGTTTCAAAGCAGCAAAGAATTTCATTACCAACCAGGTAGTAACAAAAACAATTTAAAGAAAGTGAAACTAAATTCTCACTAGATCTTAGATCTTTGAGAGTGTATTTATATTTTCAAAGCATATGCAACGCAGCCAAACAAGGTTCAGAGACCATGGAGAGCGTATATAAATTCTTGATTAATATCAAACTCGATCCCAAGGATGTTCGTTAGTCCATCTGTCCGCGTTTGTTCTGTGTAATGTCGATCGCGAACATGCAATCGGTAACTCAATTCAAGCTTCAATTTAGCGAAATGAATTTTGTTTTCGAACAAAAAAACACCTGTTACACTCAACTAAACTTGTAGATTAACGAAATTTCACTTTTTTTTAGGATTTTCTTTTTTTCGATAACAATAATAAAGGACATGAAGGATTTGGCATATGCCGAAGATAACTTTCTTAACTATTACTTCAATGGAGGCCTGTAAATTTGAAATGTACCTGAAATGTACCAGGACTGCATCCAGTGCTTTGAGCGCCACACTGCTTTGATTCTTGAGGAGAATATGTATTTACTGCACAATCGCAAACGCCTTGCTCATTGCATATCGCATTCGAATCTGATAATTGACACTGTTTGTCATTAGAACATCTCAGCCCCAAAGAAATGGCTTCTAAGCTCAGTTCTACCCGTTTACGTATTACTGAAATCGATAAATTATTTATTAATTAATTTGGATTGGAAAATATTCAATCCGTAATACCTGTGGCTAATTTGCTAGACATGGAATTATCAGTTGATGATATATCCCAAACAGGTTCAGGCGTGACGTCAGTGTCAGTGTCTTCTGCAGCACTTTGCACTAAAGGCATTAATGTGGTTACAATTGGCGCGGCTGGCTCCATTACTGTAACACGACTTGCCAAATTTAACATAGTTTGCGTAGTTAGCTCTATTATATCGGCGGCGCTGGTTGTTACTTCTGTAAACGATTTCTCAGTTTTTTCTTCTTCATGTTGTCCTACGGTGCTAGATTCGGTCACTATATTGTCGGGTTCGAATTCATGCGCTTGATAGATACGATCACCGGACATGTCGTATATTGGTACTTCTAAGGCAAGAGGTCTCATAGTGCGTGTCGCTTGCTCATCAATATTGACCTTAGCATCAGAAGTCTCCTGATGATCTCCGGAAGCTTCCACTTTACTTTCTTCGGGATAAACTATATTATGCTGGTATTGTTCTTGCATATCCGGATAGAAAGTTATCAATTTGTCTTCTGGATTTATGGTTACTAACAACGGCGTTTCATGACTGACAGGAGACTCCTGATTTACTAATTTTTCTTCAGAAATATTCGTATCTTCTGCTATAAGATCTGGAATTTCTTCCTGCAATTTATGTTGTATGTCTAGGCGATTATCTGCATCTGCAGAACGATCAGGTTGTATTGTGATTTGATTATCCTCTTCTCTCATCAGGTCACTTAATATATCTGCGATTGATTCACTTTCGTAAAATTCTTGACTCGATGGTTCTTCATAATCCGAATGCGATGCCTGACCGTAAGCCGAATCTTCGATTTCATTTTCAAAGTTTTCATTCAAAACTTTTTGCTTATCGCTTTCGAGTTCGTTGGTTCCAATTTTTTCCGTGACGGTTAAGATATTTACTATAGGCGATTCTGTGGGCTCTAAAAACTCATTTGATTGCTCATCGTTTGTAATTTGTTTAATGTGGGTCTCCAAATCATTGGTATTGAGGTTCTCTATAGGTATATTAAGGCTTTCGTTGGGCAAATCGTAGCTCAAGCTATTAATGTTTTGTGGCAAACTATGATTTTCTTCGCTATCCATTAGCTTGTATTCTTCGAGCTTATTCGTTTCATGAGCTTGTTCGTCGCTACTGGTCTCATTGGTCATCTTAGAGTCTGCGTAAGTTAAAATGCTTTCCTCCTCTTCGATTTTATCAATTGCTTCCGTTACTATTTGTGAAACGTTCAAATCGTTACTAGCTTCCTCTTCTTCCTCTTTTTCCTTCTCTTCCTCTTTTTCTTCTTCTTTAATGTGGTCGTGATCTTCGGTTTTTTCACTGGGCGGCAGTGTCGTAAAATAAACATAATCACTTACTTTTTCTTCTTCTTGCACGTCTTGAATGTTATTCATTTTGATGTCTTCGGGGTTGTTATTAATCTCTTCCTCCTTCTCACTGCCTTCCGAATAAATATTAAATGTTTGCATCTCTTCCTGATCTTCGTTAATTTGCTCCTTCTCATTTTCTTCCTCATGCAATTGTTGATTAAGATTATCTTGACTAGTTTCTTCAAAAGACTGTTGATGATATATTTGAGGTTGGCTTTCAGTTGTTCCCGCAGATTTATCTTCACTATCGACCGCTTCAGCTTCGGGCGTCTGTGTCATGTTCGGTATAGTCAATCCTTGTCCAATTTGCGGCTCGTGGTCCTGTTCGTTATGTTCTTCATTGGATGCGATCTCAACTATTTTCTCACTATTTTCGCTTATCTCGGATGGGAAGTTCTGATTAAATAATTCCGATGAGGTTTCGTCATGCTCTACTCTTTTCTGATTCTCGACATCAACTTCATTGTGATTTTCAATTTCGTGATTTATTTTGTTATTCTCAGTTTCGCTAATATAATTAATTGATTCTCCCGGACGTTGTTCATTATCCAGCGTCTCAGTATATTGTTCTGGGGATTTATATGGAATTTCGGTAGCAAGTTCAAAGAATTCATGCTGACCGATATCTACTTGAATTTCATTTTTTTCATCCAACATCTCACTATCAGTTTTAGGCAAATCAGTGATTTGCTGATATTCGTAGAAATACGTAGGCTCCTGAAGACTTAAGTGAGGATTTTCATCATAAACTTCGTTTATATCGCTTACGGCTTCAGCATTTTCAGGTACAAACTCATCCTTTTCGCCTCCTTGAATAGCATTTTCGGTCGGTGCTTGATCAATTGGTTCAATGTGCTCCGTTTGACCATCAGTTGTCAATTGATTTTGAAGATCTATGTTATTTCCTTGAAGAGGTTCTTCTTCATGGTGCTCAAGCAAAGAAATAATATCGTGAAGTTCAGTAGTGCCATCGTTTATAGGTCTCTTTATCAAATTATTTATATTTGATGCATCTAAATATTTTTCATTCGAATCCTGATCTTGTTCTGATGCAATAATGTCTTCATCTACACCTTCTGCAATATTTTCAAGTACAGGGGTATCCGTAACGTCTTTGAAATCGTCTTGCTCCTTAACGGAATTCAGATCATTCCATTCATCCTGTGGCTGTTCTGATGGCGTACCATTTTCAACTTCATTTTCCTGGTTATCTACGTCTTCACTGCTTGGCTTATTTTCGCTTACTTCTGTAACAGAGGCAACATTTACATTTGATTGATTACTTTCTTCGGTATTTTCCGCGCTCAAAGATTCTTCGATAGGTTTTGTCGTCATTTCTTGAATGCTTTCTGTTACATCCTTGATTTGATGGCCTTCTTCTTCAACGTCGTTAATTGCATTTTCCGGCAAGGATTCCTCTATTTTAGTGTCATCTTTGAAATTATCCGATATGGAATAGTTGACATTGTCATTAATAGAATCTTGTAGAGCATTACTGGTTTGTTGATCTATGGCGTTAAAAGTTTCGTTAGATTGTTCTTCTTCTACAATATTTGCATCCCGTTCAGTCGATTTATTTTGGTCCGAGTTTAAGTCACCTTCAGTTTCACTACTATATTGATGCTCTGCGGCGTAGACTTCGTAATTTGTTAACGGGTTCTCATAGTAATTCTCTTTATCCTCAGTAGAGTCAATGTAGTGCTCTTTTATTGTTTCCGAATTTGCTTCCTCTGCAATTTCACCATCATGATCCATGATATCGTTCGTAGGGTCATGTGATAAAATCTCATTTCCATGTTGACCTTCGGGAAGTTGAATATCTATATTCGGATTCACAGTAGTAGGTTCGGATTCTACTGATTCTTGGTTCTCTGGCTGAATTCTTTCTGACTCTTCCTCCTCCGCTACATTAGATTCTGTTAATTCTTCTATTATCGAATCCAATTTAATGTTGTCGTCCGCACTTTCTTGAAGAGGAGTTTCGATTATGTCTGCATTTATAATCGGATTCCCATCGTGAGTTGTTTCGATACTATGATCATTTTCTTTTCCGTCTTCTTGCTGTTGACCTTCTTGCATTGCATTGTCTATATTTTCGATTTCATTTTGTGGCTCCATTTCGATAACTTCATTCGGACTTTCGTTTCGTTTTTCCTCATTTTCGTTCTCTTGCTCTTTCTCCTCCTCTTCCTCTTTCTCTTTCTCTTCCTCTTCATCTTCATTTTTCTCTTTGTTTTCTTCTTCTTCTTCTTCTTCTTCTTTTTGATCTTTTCCCTTTTGAATATGTTTAACATTATAGTCTGTCTCTTCTTGCTTAACAGTATTGATTTCTTGATTGGGTTCCTCTGTTATGGCGTCGGTAACAGGTTCTTGATCACCTTCAATTTCTAAAGAACTTGTTTCACTATAAATTTCATTTTCTCCCCCATTTTGTATGGATTCCAGAGCTTCTGCGTTTGCATTAAGTGCGGTTTCTTTCACTTCACTTAAAACTTCTTGTATTTCATTTGTTTCACGTTCGTTCTTCATGTCATTCACATTTAGTAGCTGCTCCAGTTCGTTTTCAATAGCGATTTGTTGTCTATCCGTTACAGTATTGTCTTCTAAGTTACTAAAGTGTTGCAAAAGTTCTTCAGGTCTTGTTGTGATCTCTTGTTCTTCGTTAGCGATATCTTCATTTGAACTATAGTTAAGCACGTTATTAATGCCTACGAGCATTTGGTCTGTTTCTGTTTCTGCTTCTGCTTCTGTTTCTGTTTCTGTTTCTGTCCCCGTCTCTGTCTCCCTGTCTATCTCTGACTCCGTTATTTTTTTCTCACTATTGTCTGTTGTTGGTTCGCCTATAGCATTATCGTGGATGTTATAGTTGATGTGATTGTTGTTGTTATTATTACTATTATTGTCGTTGTTGTTTTTATTGTTATTATTATTGTAGTTATTGTTGTTGCTGTTATTATTATTATTATTATTATTATTATTGTTATCATTATTATCATTGTAGTCGTTTGTTACCTCAGACTTGTCGTCTATATTGAATGATGCAGCAACATTATTTTCTGATAATGCTTCATTTTCTTTAAATTCATCTATAAAATATCGGCGAGTTGTTGCTGCTTCTTGTTCTGCGTCATCGTTAGCGTAAGGTTGCTGAGTTATAATAACTTTATCACTTGCACTCACAACTTCAGGCTTCAATTCGACGTCAACATTTTCAACACTTTCACTTTCTACTTCTTTCTCATCTGCTTCGGTAGTTGAAGTTTGGCTATGATGTTCTGGTTCGTTGTGTTCGGTGCTATATCCAGTTTCCGAAGGTATTTTATTAAAATTTTCTTCATTAATTTGCGAAGAAGCGGTGGTTGGAAGATTTATGATATCATCTTCATCTTCTCTCTCCTTATCATAAGGTTGCTCTTGTTCGTAGACGTTTTGCTCCATGGATTCTTGCTCTTGGAATTCATTTTGTTCAGTTTCGTAATCAAAATTCATAGTATGATCTATGACTGTATGAATGGGAGCCGTGTCTTCAATGTCTCCATTTAAGGCTGAAGACGGTTTATCTTGTTCAAGAAATTGTTGCTCCTCCTGAGGCACCTTAAATTCATTTTCTTCCGCGTTGTCTTCGTTTGATTGATCTTCGACTTTATACGGATAATCGTCAGCGCTTTGATGGCTTTCGTCATCTGAATGTGGAAGTAAGGTAGGCAATGTTATTAGGGCCTGCAAAGTGGTAGACTCCAACTTGATATCATCAGGTGTTTCAGGGATTCCCAATAATTTTTTGTCGGTTTCATAGTCAGCTTCTTCTACCGATACATTATTTCCTATTTCAGCTAATGGCACTTCAGTAGGAATATGTGGTTTCTCGACATGTAACGTTTCAGTATGGGCTTCAATGTGGATCGTAGTCTCCATAATAGGTGTTTCATGCAATATTATTTCACTAGAATTATTTATTAACATTGTTTCAGATACAGGAACTGACGGAACAGATGACGTCTCTTCACTAATAGCATCAACACATTGGCCCATTTGAAGTTTGGCAGGCGCTGTACACTGGCAGCGACCAAAAAGATTCGGTATCAAAAAATCGCAATGCGTACGTTCATGAAACATTTGACAATGAGCATGACTGTAACAAACTGAACCAGGTGGAGCAGCTGCAATAGAAAAAAAAGGAAAACTACAATGGAAAAGTTCTGCAAGATCTATCAAAGCAGTCAAAATCGATTGTTAGTTTGTGGCTAACAAAGAAATATATTATTAATGCTTGAGAATTGTGCAACCAACGTGTTGTTTAAAGAACCGTTCGTTTGTGCCAAAAGCCCTAAATGGTTTATCTATCAATACCGTATTTGTTGGCATTCCACGGCCCAGCTGCTCTTTTACTTAGCAATTACAACACACCTGCTTTTGGCTTTAATCTCAGCTGACACACTTTTTTTCTAGTTGCAGTTTAACTAAATCTTAGCGGAGAAGAAATGTAAGGAAGAAACGAAAAAATGGCAACAAAAGAAAAACAATAAAAAGCATCGACCGCTTCAAGTCTGCCAAATAACCATCAATAGCAAGCAACAGGCAAAATGCCGCTCAACCTGTTTCCAATGGTTAGTCATTCTACTTAGCCACTGTAGGCAGGAGCGTACCTTAATATTGTAAAATGGTAAAAGAAGCGGGAAAAATATTTAAAAGATATGCGCAATGTAACGCAACACAACGCAACACAACGCAACTGAACGTAATGTAACGTAACGTAACGTAACATAAACGCTATTTACACGAAGATCGCAGACAATAAATATATGCTTGAAAGCTTTCTCATTACGGTAATGATAATGTAGTCACAAATTTTTGTGGAAACTGCAAGTCTATCTCATCACGCTATTGGAAGAAGTCATCGCCATTATTTTGCGCTACATATTTAAATAAGGAGCCGTTAACTCGGACGTTAGTGCGTTTTTTGGCGCAAAATATTGAAAAAAGAAAAAGAAAAATTCTATATCGATCGACGCTTCGTTCCTGGCATTTTCTATATTGGGGAAATAGTGTCTTTGAGAAGATGAACCCACCTGCACTCAACAGTTTCTCTATATACTTTTAAGTACCCTCCAAATAATCATCCCCCATTACTCCATCAGCCTGTCTCTCTCTTTCTCTCTTTTATTTCCTTTTCTTCCCCTTTTTCTCTTCATGTCAGTGTGCGGTGCGCTCACGAAATTATGTTTGTTGACAACTGATCAGGTTTTCACCTCAGTTTGAATGCGCAACGACTAATATTTATAGTTACACATAAAATAAGCACGAGAATGACAACAAACCCAAAACTAGTTTCTACTAAATCAACTGTAGCATGCACCTATGCCAAAATGTTGGTCGAATAAACGAAAAAAAAAATAAAAAAATCAAAGAAAAACTCCATTAAAGATGACACAAAAACTAAAATATACAATAAGGAAGTTTAATGCATTCATACCTGCATCCATATATACATACATACGCATACCTATATGCTATAGTACTCACTTTGATTGTCAGCATACGAAAAAAAAAAAAAAACGGGAAAATGTTACGTATACGCATAAAGGTACACATGCGCATATAAACACACATACACACACACACACACACATGCGTAAACAAATGCATAAAACAAGATAAGATAGAAGAATTTCGCATCGAAGACAAGTTTCCACTTTTGTTATGTTGAATTGCTTAGCACTTGGAGAGCATGAAGAAACAGATGAAGAAGATGGAAGTGATTGATCGATTGACTGATTGATTAGTAAGTGACATTATGGTCCATCACCATGGTTGGTTAAAATAACCCAATTATCATTGGAATGCCATACATGGCTTGGATGTTTTCAAACGTATGAGATTTTCCTCCTGAACGTATGTCATTGATGTGAAATGTGAGAAATATATATATATATATATATATACATCAGTTACAGGGGGAATAAGTTCAGAGCTTATCTTTAGCCTCTCAATCGTATCCTTTAGGGAACAATTCCAAAATTATTGTAACAGGTACCCTACAAGCAGGACAATTGTTGACTTTAATTGCATGCGGCATATACAAGTTTTCAAGTTTCGCAGTAAAGCAAACCTAGGGATCACGAACATATTTATACGCAAAACAATAGAAACCATCTTTTTTTTTTTATTAGCATTTTTAGCGGAATATTTGTGTATCTTCGTTTTCTCTTTGTATTCTCATTCGTCCTAATCGTTGAAAATTTTCTTTATAGCGGAGTATAGATATAAATAGAAGACAAGAACAGTTTCTAGATCATTTAAAGCATCTGTCATCTTCAGGCAAAATCAAGCTTTCCATTAGAGTAAGACGATCCGAAACTGTTAGCGCACCTTCTGCAAAGATCTTACAACTTTCCCATACTATTTTAATAAAGAAACCCAATAAGAGAAACAAGCGAGAATAAGAAATTCTTTCCAAGAATACAAGAATGCAAGTTAATAAAGCATCCTAGGTGTCCTAAGGGAAAAAAAGGTAATGAATAAATACTAGAAGTAGATTCAACTGAATCTCTTACGAATGACTTTAGTATTAAGCTGGACAATAGATGCACAAATTCTGCAAAGGTTTGCAATCAATCTCGTTAAGTGTATCAACAATTTATCACAAGCAGTTTAGGACATCCATCCTACGCGTCCTTATCCTTAGATAGAAAGGAATATTTTTTTCACGATTCTCGTCCAAAGTTATATTCAAGTTTACTTAGGCTTACGTATTAAGTAAATTTAACAAATATTTATTATGTGAATATTTATTCGTTTCAGTTCTTTGTTTCTTTCTCATCAATTAATGGAAATCACCATATGACAGGTTTCCCAAGAAATGATAGGCACGCATAATAGAATGTTGATGTGTAGATATATGGCAATGTATGTAACCTTAAGTGTGGAATGCGTCAAGTGTTTTTCTTTTTCTTTGCTTAATTTTTTTTTTTTTCCTTATTTTTACTGTTCACCTTTTTATATTGTTTCAATAGAAAATTACAGTAAAAAGCGAACTGGTTGAAAATGATGACTATAACAATAGCCATGGTAATGACAACGACGACGACGACGACGACGACGACGATGATGATGACGATGATGACGATGATGATGATGATGACGATGTTGATGAGAATGATGATGATGATGATGATAATGATGATGATGATGATGATGATGATGATGATGACAATGATGATAACGATTTCACGATGATGTATTTTATCTTCTCACAGACAAGGAAGTAATAAAATTATAAAATATGGGTCATTAAGCTTTACAAGACAGCGAAATCAGAAACAAAACACAAAAAAAAAAAACAAAACAAAAAAGAGAAAAATATAAAGAAACCACGGTTCCATGGTAGATCATCTTTAGCAACAATGACAAAATAATAATTATAACTTTTGCTTTTCGCTCACATGCACACCGATATATATATATATATATATATATTAGAAGCAGATATACAAGCAACCAAACAGACAGACAGACATATAGACAGACATAAAAAGATCATAATGCCATGAAAAAAGCATATCATAAAAATGAATAGTTATTCTTGTAACTGTATATATATATATATGTATGTCGTATTGTCGCAGTTATTAATAACTAACTACACAAATACATATATATATATATACAAATACATGAAACAATGTTAGCATACGTTTAGCGTATGTATAAACGCATATGGATGCTTGCATATATTGTGTGGTATGGTATGGTGTGATGTGGTGTGGTGTAGTAATGTGTGTAATGCATTGCATTGTATTTCATTTTATTATATCGTATATTTTATTGTGTGGTCTTGTGTTTTAGTTGGTATGACTGGCATACTTTTTCTTATCATAATGTGCTCGCATTTCTTTCTATTTTATTATTACTACTGTAAAAATGAAGTAAAACAGAAATAAGTAATAATCTTGAAATGTCGTGCTTGCTGCTATTGTTGACTATTTTTATATCGTGTAAAAGAAATCCGGAACAGAACTTATTTTACTATTATAACTGTTACTTTCATTTCGTATAATATAAATGAAACATTATTGTACGGTCGTGTTTGTGTATGTGTGTGTGTGTGTGTGTGTGTGTGTGTGTGTGTGTGTGTGTGTGT